TTGGTGTGCTTCAACAAAATTCAAATTATTGTACAATGCTTGAATAACATGTTATTTTGCAGTAGTTATTGTTGTAGTTACCACTTCGGTTTTATTTTTCATGCTTTGCATATGAAAACATACTGAACTGCCCAAACTAATTGTAAAACCCTCCCCCACTGTAATGCATCTGCCACTGTAGGCACTGAATAAATATATAGTCTGAAATATAAACTAGGGGTCGAATTTTTTTATTAGTAAATGATGAATAAGAACACAGAATAATATGGTGAGGAGCCTACTTGGTTGAATGAAGCTTCGGATTCGTGGCTACAGTAAAAATCCAATTGACTGTACTACAGAGTCTCAAACAGCCTTGCACACCTTTCCGTAGCTGCGCCCAAGAGTCAGTGCACCTATGGATCCTAAATTCAAATGCATTAGATCTAACCCAATATTGCAGAACGGTGTTTTCAGAGCTTGCATTCTTAATGCAGAAAATCTCAAAGAGCTCAAAAGCTGTTCCATTGTTTAATCTTTCCCTACAATAAAAAAGTGGGGAGAGTCAGGCCAATCCTGCATCCCAAACAGGACAAAATCGCCTTATTGAAATCTTGTAATTTTTCTATCCTCTCTCAACCAGCAATGAGACTAGAAACTAACAAGTATATAAAAACCAGGACAATTGATACATCTAGCAAAGAGAATTCCCTGGTCGACAAGGCCAAAGCACACAATTACACCCTTATGCGGATTTACAGCGAACCTAAGACAAACTACACACAATTTCACTATAATGATATTTATGTGAATTCGCTGTGAACCTATGGCCAAGTACACACAATTCCACTACGATGATACCATTCCGAATTAAATGTTGAGTAGTTGGTTGTGACCGAAGAAAGATGCAAGTAAAATAAATAATAAAAATTTCCGGGTTTGAGTGAGGATCAAACCCAAGTCATCTGCGTGGCAAGCAGGCGTTCTGCCACGTAGCCATGGCATTCGTTGAAACTGATTTGAAAAAAACCCTACATGAATGTCATGTACTGAAAGGAGCCTCCTTAGTGCATCATACTATATTGCGTGGCAGAAGCGCAGAACCTTGCCAAGGGCCAAAGGATGTCAACTGAGCAAGGAGTGGGTATTTTAAAGGCCAACCCATTACAAGGAGCTCATCATCAGCAGGAGAACCATCAACAAAGTGAACAGCTGCGTAGGGTTTGCATGTTGCTCTATGGATGCATAGCAGGCCCTTCGCCGATTCTCCCCAAAAAATAATGATGCTGTAGTAGGCACTTAACTCTGTTTGCAATGGCATTTTCGAAACTGCCAATGCTACCCACACAGTCATTTGTTTCCTTAAGTCACAGCCGAGGCACACACGGAGAACCAAAGCAGGCTAGCAGTTCCGAAGGTGATGTGCACAAGGCCCGATTATGCTATCGCAATCTCCTCTTGAAGGCAAAGCTCAAAAGGCAAAGCTCAAGAGTCTTCCATTATTTGTCACAGAATAAATGCCAACGCATTTATAAAACTGGATCGATAACACAACTGCAGAAGCAATTTTTTACAGCAGTTTCGAAAGCCGATAGCTTTATATTCCAGTTTACTAGCTTTAAGTAACCTTCTATAGTTTCACTGATGTCTCTGTAAGCAGTCAGCTAAAAAATTCCGCCATATCCACGAAGTGAATGATGATGAGTGGGCAAAGCTCCGGAGGTAAACCTGGTAAACCATGAATCCTCTGTACATTTTGCCCACTCGATTTTATTACATCGCTCCCCCTAGCGTACGTCGCCGCACTAAATCGAACGCTTGCCTTCAACCAATGACACGCGCCATATGTGACATCATTCCTATTTTATAAGATCTCGCGTCTTTCATCAACTACAAGTACCGCTTTCTAGTTTATAACATCTTGCATCTTTTCATCATCAGCTACAAGTACCACCATCTAGTAAACACTACAAGAACTAAACGAGAGGTGGCTACATACAGGAGACGGTACCGCCATCTAGTGAACACTGCAAGAACTAAACTAGAGGTGGCTACATACAGGGGACGGTACCACCATCTAGTGAACACTGCAAGAACTAAACTAGAGGTGGCTACATACAGGTTACAGGGGACGCACAGCCCACGCCCTAAGGAGCTTCGCCCCTAAAAACAGGAACACTTAAAATTTGGGCAGCCACAGAAACTCTAGGCACTGAAGTCTACCTGCATCAACAACAACGACAAAGAGGTAAGAGCGACTCCGTTGATAATAGAGTCTAGGTTGCATATGCCAAGAGACTTGTGGCAATGCTCGATCACATCGGCAATACCCTTCAAGTACCCTTAAAAAGTACACATGAGCCCACATGGGTCATCCAAGTGCACATGAGTCATCTGTAGTAAAGCACTACACTCATACCTCAATATAACGAGCCCACATAAAACAAAATATTGGTTATAACGAAGTAACTCAAGCATAGTCTTGCAATATAAAGTGTTAGAAACATATGTTCATAACAAAATTTTGGATATAATGGACTTCATTTTTGTAAGATGCAAGTTTGTTACGAGGTTTGGCTGTATATAGGTCCACCATGGCATTTGTTCACATGTCCCCCAAAGTTTCTTTTTCTAAAGTGGCCTCTAAGGGATCCATATGTCATTGCCTTTTCATGCTTTTCATCTTCTGGCACTGTGTACACAACTGTGCATGATGACACAGCACATAAAAAACAGAAGCACCGATGAGAATATGTATTAAAAAGCTCCGATTAGACCCATGTGATATTTTTGAGTATATACCGTAATGTACCTTTGTAAAGCAAGTTCATTGTAAATGGCTGGGCGTGAGCTCACATAGCGTGTGAACATGTGTAAGGTTCCATTCTTTCATTACTTCTTGCATTGTTCTATATCATGCAAATCATTCAAGCCACGGGATAAGAGCTAAGGAATACAATTTATAAGAGCAGTTTATGGTCTTATGTTCAATGTTTGCATCCTCACAGTGGTGCACACAAGCACACAAAATGCCCAGAGTTTTTTAACAATTATATAATAAGCAGTTATGCATTTTTGCAGTTATGCATTTTTGCACTGGTTGATTCCTACCACATCGATGTGTCCTATGTACATATCGCATATAAGGCAATAGAAGAGTACACACAAGCCTAATAACAGCAAGCAGCCAACTTGCATCAACTAACCCAGGGGTAATGTGCAATTGTGCAATGTGATGTTTGAACGATTAGGTGAACCCTTCCATTAGCCTGTCTTTGCAGATAATTCAAGGTAAACATAGATTTTTTGAAACCTGTAGAAACAGAGACTTTATCCTTGCTTTTCGGTTCCTTGTCCCTGTGCCAAGAAATCTCGACATTCATATTCAAATATACAAAATGAAGTGGCCTAAAGTTTTAAATGCAAAGCCATTCTTTGACTAGCCTGTGTAACACTGTCCCTCCATGCGTCCGTACGAATGCGCCGCAACCCACTCCCATCGCTGCAGGTGTTGGGGCGGTGCCAAATAGGTCACGCCGCAGCTGAGCGTTGATGTCACGCTCCGCTCACAGTGCACCCTGACGTCCCTCTCCCCCTCGCTAGTCGTGCGCTCGCGGCAGCGTCCGCAGCTGCCGCCTCGTTCGTTCGCCCGCAACACCTGCTGCTACCGTCACTCGCACCGCTACTACCACCGCTGCTCGCAGCGGTGGTGGTAGCAGAGAAAGCAAGAACGTAGCAAAACAGGAATACACGTTCCAGAACACAGCAACCTTGGAAACACTGCAAATCCAACTCGGTTCATGCACAATAAGCCCGATGCGTGCCAAACGTGCGTGTTGAAACATGTCTGTACGCGTCACCTCTCTGTCGCTTGACCCTCTGCACTGCTCGCAATGCTCGAGCGCAGATCGAGTGGTAACATTTTCGGCTCATTTATCTGCGACGGAGAGGACGCTGGAAGACTACACTCCTTCGTCCACGAAAACATCCGCTGAAACGATTAGGCCTAACCAGGCCAGTTGCTGGGGTTGCGAGGATTAGCAAAGCTGATCACGTTCGCGAATGGCGACGTCGTGCGCAACGCTGCCGCTTCGCAATCCATCAGGGTTCTCTTTGATAAGATGAGGTGAATTTTATGGCACTAAGTTACAGTTGAAGTACCTAAAAGGACACTAAAAAGCTAAACAATTTTTCACATATTAGAGTAAAAATTCACAATCCCGAGAACACCACTCTTACGACAATACGACACTTCGTAAATCAAGAACTGCACGAAAAAGAAAATGTCGAGGAGACACCACTTCGAGATGCCCACACCAACCACCGTGACACAAGTTTTGAAGGAGTCTACTGGGTCCTAAGTCTCTTCCAAACAATAAAAATGAGGTACAGTATCATCTGTGGATGCCATGCAAGTTAGAATACAAAGTTTCAGGAAACTTCATCAAGTCAATGTCATGAAAATACAAAAATACATTTTTGCAATTTTTGATATCACGTGCAAAGCTTAATAATGAACTAATGATACGGAAACATTAGGCATTAGAGTTCTCAAAGTGCAGTGTGTCATTCTAAACTAAGTCAGTTTTTTTTAGGGCCCCTTTAATCCAATAACTAGTGCAAACACAGACGCATCTAAACTAGATTAATACGATGGAAGGCCACTACCAGATAGATGGGAAGACTCCTTGAAAGACTAATAATATTCTGCTAGAATATTTTCACAGGCCCATAATGTGTGCAAAACTTCCAAATATGGTGCAGAGTGTTAGCGCTACCAAGCAACATCCCGAGAATTTCACCACCAGCTTGCAAAGATTCCATTGTTTAGCCTGGCCCAGTTGTGTTGTCAGATACAGCAGATAGCACCAGTTTTGACATCTGGGTGTTGCAGTCTGGCAGCCAGCTCACTCTTCCTGAACTGACGTGTAGACAAGATAGTGCAGACTTCCTGCATACCATGTCCGATAAGAAAATGTCGGAAGTTTCCGCAGTTCTTGCCGTTTTGAAAAATACCGATGCACAATCGTGACACAACTTTATTCAGCTTTCTTGCAGGCTGCATTATAATATATGTATAATGCTTTAATTTTCACTTAAACGGGACTGAACTCTTCAGTGCACACCTCTTACAAAAACAAGGAACAAAGGGGAGGAACGAACATTATATTACAAAAAAGGGGCAACATAAAACATACGGGAACACAAATACTTCTCTTGTTCCAAAAAATATGCAACATACGTAGACTAATGACAGCTTCAAACTATTGAAATCACAGACAAAAGGATAAAAGAAAACAGCCAGCTGATTTACCTTTAAACATGACATCAAGCTACGTTAGTTAACCAACCTATGGCCAAGTTAATTTAATGCAAGAGTGAAGGAGAAGGCAAGAATGTAGCAAAACGGAACACGCGTGCCAGAACACAGCAACCTTGGAAACACTGCAAATCCAACTCGGTTAATTTGCATAAGTTAAAAAAACAAGAAAAACAAGAAGCAACAAAATTGAAAGCACCTGTAGAAGGTCATCTCAACGCAAGCACACCGACTGCTGAATTCAGCACTGAAGTTAGAAGTAGTAGTAGAGGGAATGACAACCAGTTAAGTCTACACTATTTGCCACAGGTGTTCCCCCCTTTCTGTGACTAAGGGAGCCCAGTAGTGGCATCACGCAAAACTTTGTCCACTCTCACCTTTGGCACGCACCAAGCCCACCTGATTCGCTGAGCCTTGTCAGCTGCACTTTGAGTCCACAAGTTTCGGCAGAACCAAGTATATTCAGCTCGCTTAAAAATGAAATCATCGGGTGCCAACCACACACCCACTGCAGTGTCTCTCTTACTAGACAGCTCGTTGCTTAGATCCCTATTTTCGGGCAAAGGCAGAAAACTTCAAACAATTGCACAGTATAGAATAATGCTGTTAGCAAGTGCTGTGCATCCTTTCAATACAAAAAAGAAAAAAAAAACAAATTTTGACTTTATAATAGTAAGGTATGACACAACTCAAACGTTGCGCACCCAGAGATACAATCTCAGGTAAAGAAATGATGCAAATCGAAAAAAATAAGGCCCACTACACTTGGTTTATAATGATGTACAGTTTATAGTCAATGTTTCAGTCCCATTGAGGTCACTAATGTTTCCCACTGAAAGTGTTTTGTTTGCCAGCCTTACGATGGCCTCGAACAAACAGTACCCCCCCTTTTGCCACAAAGGTGAAAAATGCCTGTGGTCAGTAACGACGCCATGTTACCCTGATATTTAATAAATAGCTTGCAAATTTACAGACGCTGCTCTTCTATTCTCTGCGGGCATAACATTTTAATGTTGATGTGGCATTTTAAAAGTGCAGCCTCCTTATGAAAAGTGAAAATATATTTCATTTCATTTAGCAATGCTACATTTTGGGTAACTGTCCATGCCTCTGCAATTTCAGTTTTCCCAGGAAAGCTTAATAAGAAACAATACAATCTTTACAGCCTCATATTTCCAATAACTATACCTCATTCATTTGAAATCATGAAAGCTATGCGTATTGATTACATCGGACTAATGCAGCTGCAGTGACTCAGTGGTGGGGAGGGGGCTTGATGCCAGTAAGCCAAAGCAGGGCAACTTCACGCCAGGAAATGACATACACAGACACTGCTACACAATACCCAAGAGAATAGTTGCACCTCAATGTCCAGGTACAAAGCAATGCTGCAGTTGAAATAAAAAAAAAGGCTTGGCTAGTGCTAAAGCTTCTATTTTCTATGTTACAAGTCCGCGCGAGTGCATTGTGTTTTCTTCTGTACAAAAACTGATAGCACTAAGAAATATGATGGCACTTGACAGTCCTTTTCCACCTCTACAGATCAATATTACTATTTACAGGCACACAAAGGAGTCAAATAGGTATCTACATGCGGGTGTGACCTCTCCATGGGACAGCAGTGCTAAATTAAGCAACGTACCACTCGAGAATGTAAGAACAATCTAACCTTTGGGCAGCTCTCTACACACAAATTGTACTCGTTAAGGAACTCGCTAGGGCCCAAATGCATGAGGGTCTGTTTAAGCACCTGGCATGTCAGCCAAAGTAGAAGCTTGAAACGAAGAAAGTGTTGAAAAAAAGAGACACCCAAGACTGCTGGTAACAATCATTGTTCTGTTGCAACTAATAAATGAACATTCCTTGATGCTAGCAAATATTTACAGCGACACCTCAGGGCCGCTGCATATACTGCGAGTGAAGTACTTTCAACAAGTTCATACTTCTAGGGCACAGGAAGATACCTCACTGAGAGCGCAAGTGTCGCACACAGAGTGTGATGCGGCCATATGAATGAAAGCACAATGCAAAGTAAATGCCTAGCTCACTCGAGTGTGTACACTCAAGCCTTGTTGCGAAGCTGCAGAACGGCAGTAGGAAGTACGTAATTAAAAAAAGATATGACAACATGAGAGAAAGGACAGCAGAGACTTTTTTTTTCTTTTCATTCTCCCAATCTACCGAATACCACATCTCCCCAAAAATACTTTTTAAAATATTCTGCCGTAAACACCTGCTTACATATAGACCATATCCTGTGAGGTGAGCGTATAAGCGCCTACTGTTTTGTGAACAGCAATAAATCTAAATCTCTGCCCATAGCGAGCAGCAATGTTATAGCAAGACGCATCGGCACCTTAACAAGTTGGGTTCGTTACGTCTTCAAGGGCTCGGTGCGGTTTCGAAGTCCTGGAATAATCACATTCAGGAGGGATTTATTCATTGTGCATTAGAGAAAACTTGAGTGCACTCCGACATTTTGTTCTCTTTAGATTTTGTAGCAGCTTAAATTGAGCCGCAATAAAGAAAAGAAAAAAAAAAAGAGAATCCTAAGTGAATGCTTCAAACACAAGAATAATGCATGTCCCAACAGTAGCAGCACTGGTGGAAAGATGAACAGCATATCAGCTTGCACATCACACACACATACAAAAAAAAAAATGGGCAAGGACGTAAAACTACAGGCCTGTAACGTTCAAGGAGTCCATTCCAAAAGTAATATAATGATCCACGTGACCCGCCGTTGTAGTGGAATCAAAGTTTTCGAGCCTACTGCCCTGCCTTGTGACAACACATACCGATCAGCATCTCCGCTGTGGTGCCTAGTCACACCAACATGACATACACAAATAAAAAACGCATTCGGCCTTTTCGAGAAAGTGCTTAAAAATGGGCACGCAACAAAGCTGGGACAACATGGTAGTGCAACCTAAGTGAAGGGTTTGTACTTACAATGGAGAGTAAGCGAGCCAATAAGGTACCATGGACGAGCTATTTGGAAAGCAACCAACGTCAGCACATGCTTCAAAAACTGCTCATTTTTGCACGCACGCAAATACCACCGGAGCACTTCGAAGCTGCCTATGGACCCGTGGGGAAGCACGTCCTTGAAGCTGTGTCTTCGCTGTGCAAGGTCACAACCAGAAGAACGAAAAGTGATGCCGACTCAGGCTGCCTCTCACTGGCCGACATCATATGGCAATGACGTAGGCAGGCGGAAGCACACATGAACATTACTCGAGAAAGCCCTGGCGGCCGACGCCCTCATGGAGTCTCGGCCGTGGCGGTGAAGTAGGACAGCGTCGGGTAAAAGCCCAAGAGAACAGCCAGAACAAGGATGCACAGTGGTATTATTGAGCAGGCTGACGTCTGCAAAGAACAGAAGCTCTGAATAACAGCTCTGAATAAAACATTACGTGCATTTTTCAAATTATTATTGCAAAAACGGTCATTGTGAAAGTCAAACAATGAAGCTGTAGGTACAAGATTCCATTTATTTCTTCATTAACTACTACCACTGATCACTTCAACTGCACGACACTACTACTACAGCTGATGACGGCACAGTGTAGACTCGGACAGCCTCACCATAAAGAATATTGATGGATTCCAAGCAATGTAAGAAGACATTCTTTCATTTTTGCCGTGACTGGCAATAATTACCAGTAACTTTGACACAGTATCTTAACGTCCATTGCTTTCGACAACATGACAGCAGTTCAGTGGTTTCAATGGTACCTTATTGTAGCATCTGAGCAGGCCCACAAAGTTCTACACAGAACATACAGCAAGACAGACTTGGGAGTGTACTTGAAATGTTTAGAAGCAAGCTGCGTGAGCTGTATGGAAGCTCCAAGTGAAATGGGCATCTGCAAAGACACTCAAAAGAAGCCAAAACTCAAAAGGCATGACGCTTGCAGTGATCTACCATTTCAGTTATGGTGGCAATTTGGCTTCAGTGTCTTAGTATCTTACAGGTGGCACGAGATAATTGATTCTCAAGGTATTGTCATGGGCTGATGAAATACGAACGAGAAACGCAGCTTCCACAAGCGATAACTTAATGGCACTGTCAGACAGACAATAATGCGGTCGCAAAAGATTTTCGGAGCCCCACATTAAGTTTGCAACGCCAAGCCATACAGAGACGACCCATGTAGGCAGGGGGAAACCACATGAGATTGTGTTTAGGTTAGCCCCAACACATTCGTACTTCAATCGTCCGTAACTGTACACTTGATCTCACTTTTAAGTGGCAGTAGTGCAAGTTAGCTTGCACGAGACTCTCCCGCAAATGGAAAGAGGTTTGAATGAACACCTACCGCCTTGGACTGGTACAGTAGCAACTGGCGCTCATCACCGACAGCCTTGAGCTCCTGCTGAAGCTGCTGCTTTCTCCATAGCGCAGACCGAGTACTTTTCCTTGAGCAGGGCCAACTCCTCTGCTGACTCCTGGAGCTAATGAAAGGTAGACACAAGAAACTGAGTAAGGGATGCCTAGTTGACAATGAACAAGTAAATCTAGGCCACAGTGAAAATGACTGCTTGTGTATCATTTATAGAATGACAGAGCGGAGCGACTGTGGAAACGTCACAATATCTTCCATGAGCATCAAGCAAGAAGCTCATCCATGTTGCGATGTCAGGGTTCTGTAGGAACTGAAACTAGCTTTTGTAAAGATAATGTAGTTATTTTTTAGCGTCCATCCACACTTACCGGTACATTCTCAGGGATCTCGAAGTGTTTTGTTTTTCAGTTGAGGCAAAAAAAACAACAAATATTTTCATGTCAGCACCTCTTCTGGAATCCGCATACCGCTCAGCCTTACCTGATGCCTCATACTCTGGGCCTCTTGTTGAAGCTTCTCGAGCTCCTCTGGCCAGTCGCCCCGGTCAACCCGATCACCCCTATCACCTCGATCCCCTCGATCACCCGGCACAGAGGGTAGGGATGACTGCGTTCCAAGCATGCTGCAGCTTGTCAGCAAGCGTTCGCACTCGTTGAGGAGCTTGGCATTTTCAGTCCCGCTGCCTGAAGGACACAAAGTGTAACAACCTTATCAGAAACATGCCGTCCTTTGAAAATTTTGACATACGCGGGTACCTGATGTTGACTTCTAGAGAAGTTATGATATGTTGATCACTTGCCAAGTTAGGATTTCACGCTTGAGTGTTCAACACACATAGCTTATTTCCGAATAGGTTTAGAAAATTCATGAGCCCTTGTCCCATCGGGAGACTGGGAGGGGCAAGCGAAACTGTGTCTGCATGCCTGACAAACAACTGGTCTCTTTCTATTGCATTGTGCAAAGCTCGCTCCCAACTGTTTCTTTCCACCATGCCATGAATTGGACCCACAACCCCGTTTTTAGCATCAGCGCATACAGGCAACGATGACGGTCACACACGAAACAATGAAATGCAGCAATGAATGGCAACATGAAATGACAAGTGACTTCGATAAAAGATCATACAGGGAAATCTTGATGCAACGTATCGCATAATAATGCCCAATTTCGAAAAGTCATACGGTAAGTATTAAACATATGTGCAAAAATCGTAAACGCAACCACACAAGTTGCCTATCTGAGCTGTGTATACATTCGAGACCGCGTAACACTTTAATAAGCGCAAAAAAAAAAAAAAACTCGAAACATTCTGGAACCAGTGCACATTAATTCGAGGAAGAGCGCGATGTGTTCTGATGTGGGCAGCTGGGCTGTTCAAAGACTAATAACTCCTAAGTGCGCACAGCCTTCTTATGAACTGTGAAGCACTGGCATTGTTAAATAACGATTCTTCACGTTGGTTCACACGTGCCGTTTCAACGTAGTCTTCGCTCCCGTAGCAGTTTCCTTGTGACGAATCGTACAGGTCTTAGCCGTCGTCAGCTAAGCTGACGTGCATGCTTCGTCATCACACTGTGCGTAGTGTTCGAGCGTTAGTGAAGCATGCACGGTTAATCATCAGCGGCTTCACCCCACATGTCGCTCGCGTCGTATTTTTCACTGTCGTAGCATTTCTTTCGTGCTGCTTCCGAAGCTCATCTTGAATGTTCAACCAACAACCAAATAGGCTAGAAATAACAGCCGTGCAACAAGTGCACAGGTAAAGCTGCGCGACAAAAACAATGGCAACGGGTCGGAGCCCGATGCGAAAAACAAGCTCCAGGTGACGATGACAGCGATAGGGCTGTCACACATTCGAATAGGGTGCGCAGACAGAGAAATATGCGGGTGTTCTGATGATGATAATAGTGGCAGCTAAGGATCAGGGCATTATTTCAAACAGCCGCGAGTAACTTTTAAAAATCACTCTTCATTATTCTGAAGCATTCTGAAGACATTACGAGAATAAAATTCTATGTTATTCTGAAACATTCGGTATTCTGAAATTTGTAGTAGCGAAATATTTTTACATTAGACCAATGAAAATTTGAAGGCAGATCTTTGGAAAAGTCATTAATCTGAAAAAAAAATAAAAATAAATAATAATAATGATAAAGAAAAGGTTAATCTGAAGTTCGCTCTAATGAGATTTGACTGTGTATCCATACCATATATAGTATGATTGCACACAAGCCCTTAATACGAGATTTTTTAGAAGGGCCCTTGAACGCTTCTTCAAGTAACCAGGAATGATCTATTGATTTGTGCGGTTTAACGTCCCAAAACCACGATATGATTATGAGAGACGTCGTAGTGGAGGGCTCCGGAAATTTCGACCACCTGGGGTTCTTTAACGTGGACCCAAATCTGAGCACATGGGCCTACAACATTTCCGCCTCCACCGGAAATGCAGCCGCCGCAGCCGGGATTTCATTCCACGACCTGCGGGTCAGCAGCAGAGTACCTTGGCCACTAGCCCACCGCGGCGGGGCAGTAACCAGGAATGAATTCACTGGAAAAGCGTATTGCCACAAGAATTCAACGCCGCAAAAATTTTAAGAATCTGTCCAGTGCTAGTAGAGTTACAAAGGCTTGTCGCATGCTGCAATTGCATTCTCTCTTCTCTCGTCCCGACGAAAGTGCTGGAAGCTAAGCAGGGAGAGATGGCAGGGCCACAGAAAAACGTCACACGCGTCTTGTGGCCTTGAGCACCTTTTTTCTTTTTTTTTTCTTCTTTGAATGCGCCACTATTTCGGTGTGATCGGGCGCACACGCATGGACAAGTCGCGGCCTCCCGCGGCGATCTCTGTAACGAGCGAGCGCGCCATGTTCAAATCGGCCAATGGCTGATAGATGGGTAATTCACGTGCCATTTTTGGGCATATTCCACCATTTGTCGAGAAAAGAGAAAGCAATTTTTAGCCGACTTTGGTAATTTATTGTGAATTCCAGGCCGCGTGCTGTGCTATAATATTTTGCTCGCGTGTTGTCGGGAGCCTCTACTACTAATCGGCAGCGTTTTCTGACCATGCTAAAAAAGTGTTGCAGGGCCCCTTTAACATTTACCCTAACCTGAAGTTCGTTATAAGAAGATCTGACTGTGTATTCATACCACACATGGCTGATGACACAGAAGGCCACAATCCGAGATTCTTTAACATTTACCAAAGTGCAGGACAAAAACATTTTTTTAAACAACTTCCCACTGCAATGTGGCTCAAGCATCAGAGAATCAAAGCAGCAACCTTGAGCTCAGTAGCTGAAAGCCATAGCTTGTCAGTCACCACGTCACGCTACTACAAGACTGTTCGGCAACCTAGAGGAATAAAAGAGCAAAAAAGCTGCTCACATGGCAGCCTCTTCTTCAGCTGCTCGAAGACGAGCACGCAAGGCCTCGCATTCCTCTTGAAGGGGCTCTTGGGTGTGGTTAGGAGTCAAGGAACGCTCCGTGTTGGCTCGATTGCGCAGTTCTTCGGTCAGAGTCCGCACTTTCTCTGCAAACACAGAAATAGAACAGAGTGATCACTCGGAATTACTTTTGTAGTCGTCGTTTTGGCAAGGCTTTAATTTAAATTGTCCGTGGTCGATAAATGTTGTGAGCCCCAACAAAATGTCAACTTTTCAGGGACTGCACACTATAGAAGTTTGTGCAGAAGGAAAATTAAAAAGAAAAGCACATTTTCAAAGATAACACTCACTCCTCAGATGCTCCGCTTCATTCTGGTGCTGCTTGGCGCTGTTCTGAGCCTCATGAAGTTGCTCTGCAGTAAAAAGAGTGCAGAATACTAAACACTATGATTTGCAAGTGCATGAACATTGCTTCAAGCTAATACAAAGATTTACACCATTAATACTAAAAGTTCAATTTGTTTTCACCTATACTCTACAAACAGGCAGAGACGGCACACAAAGAAATGCAATGCGCAACTATACAGGGTCCATGTTTGCATAGGTATCTTGCATATTGTTCCTCAAGTACGCTACACAGGGTTTCTGAGCCTTCCAGGATTACGCCCAACACAGGATATTTTCAATTTTGTAAACAGGCTTTTCCTCGCATATAACTTACCCCAACTAGGGTCACCAACCTCATCCAGATCTTACAAAGCTGAGGGCAGTTACCGATGATTGGGCAACACTTATCAATGAACAAGAGCCCAATTTCTAATTGTTAAGTATGTTACCTCATACTAGTTAAACAAGATGCATGGGGAAGCAGCTGTGTAATTATGCCATTTTTCTGTGCATGCTATATCAGTTTTTAACCCCTTCGCAACTGAAAGAAAAAAAAAAAAAAGCCAAAATCGCCTAAACTTTCTGTTTGCTCAATTTTGAGAGCCTTTTTTATTTCTCCCCTGAATTAAGCAGCATCCTTATTTCAAATCAATGGCATTCCTTTGTTTCACTAATCGCGTAAAAGAAAATAACTTCAAGGTGGCTTCACTGCATTACAGTGCCATAAAAACAGTCAATAAAATGAAAGCAGAGACAATTCTCTCAACATGAACAAGTGTGGCTATCCGGCATTGCGAAACACAAGTACAGGGAGTACAGTCGTCGTTGGTCTTGGGTGGGACTAATTATTGCTAATGAAAAGCATAGTCAGCATAGGTCAATTTGTTCAAATATCTGAAGACTATATTCGTGAAGGGTTGTGAAAGGGTACAATCTATCAAAACAATACACAACCAACAAACTACTGCACTTTCACTGCCACTCTTCTCTACCACACACCACAAAAAAGATACCCAGTATTTCTCTTCACACGAGTGACATTCTGATGTAATTGAGTGTAAGTCTGACAGGATTGACAAGAAAAGCCTTATAATCAAGTGAAAACAACACAGCGGGAGAGAAAAAAAATGTCTAAGAAATTGCAAGAAGAAGCAAACTAAAATATGAAAAAGCAGAGTACAAAAGCAATTGAACGTTGCAAATAAGTAGTGCGCAAACCAAACATACTCTTCACAGCCTCTGACGCGGCTTCTGTCCGACTCCGGGCTTTCCTTTCCTCTTCGAGAAGATCTGTGTGTAAAACATGCGCAACATAAACAAAAGGAACAGCAGAACTCAGGAAAGCAAGGCAGGGGCTTCGTGTTGACACTGGTCAAGGAAACATTGCTGCAGGAAAGAAGAAAAGTGTCACTGCTAACCTCGCTCGATTTGATTTCATTTTGACAGACAGCCAAATTGAGACAAGGCGAAATTAAAATAGACCAATATTCACCATTAAAAAACAACATTCAGTAACCTGTGTCTTAGCATAGCTGGGCACCTACAGAACAGCTTTGTGTGAATTAACAAAATAAAATAATCTTGACACCACCAGGTGTGTTACTTTGGGCAGGCAGAAATGACTCTCGCTCACCATCAACCGATCCGACAGCCAGTTTTTATAATGCAGGATTTAGAAGTGATAGTAATACTATACCATTTACCCTACGGTATTCCTGTACCATAACCATGTATGTACTATGATTCGTACCACCATCAATTGATGAATGCGTACAATAACAAGATTATGTGATTGTAATGGTGGCCACAATGGTACTGACAATATTATCATAGCTGGAACGATTGCATACTTGCCTAATGACAAGTAGAGAATATCCAGTAAGTACGAAACTTGAAGTTTTATATTCCGAATTTTCGTATGATTAACAGGCAACTAAACCCCAATGTGCGGTGTCAGGGATTGCAAATGAGTAATACACACGCTACACTAACCTGAACCACATCATGGTATGCTTTGAAGACTTCTGTTCTCAATGACAGTGTGCAGAAACAATGCAGGGCTGATGTTTCCCGATGACACCAAAAGCAAATTTAGTGTGCACCCACCACTGTGAAATGTCGAAGACTTCATTGTCTCTGGCAGTTTTGAGTGTAATACACTCAGACATCATTATAATAAATTTCATCGCACACAAAAATAAGTTTTTTGCGAAGGTATGTTCCTAACACTATAGTATCTATTTCAAGACTATTTTTAATGTACTTTATTATAGCTGATATTTCTTTATATCGAGGTTTGAGTCTTTCATGAAGAAATTCGTGGCATCTACTCTGTGCAGACATGTTTCGCTTTTATACACTATTTTTGTGGTTACTGATAGTAAAAGATAGACTATTCTGCTACTTCATAAATGTAACAACTCCGTGGCTTTCATTGGCTTTGCATTACAAATAGTGCCTACCATGAAACTAAAGCACATCCATTGCTACAATGCTTTGATACAGTCATCACACATCCAGTAACAGTAGCTTTAGGTCATACTTTGACCCTCTACAAACTTTTTTTGGCCTCCTTTGGTACTAGTTCAGATACTGCCACGATAGTTAATGTCAAGGCTGCTCGCTGCACGGAGATTTTAAACAAAAGAAAAACAAGAAGCAGACAGAATGAGTAACTGCAAAACAAGCACCAAGGACGATTAACAATTGCCGCGATAGCGATCTACAAGGCCAACTTACTTTCTAAGCTGCTAAGCTCTTCTTGACCCAAGCGCCTGTGCCGCTCGTGTTCAGCTAGCTGTTGTCGCTGGACGTTGAACTGCTCTCGCAGTTCGCACAGTGACTGTTCAGACTGCGACAGCTCCCCTGCAAAATGCAACCAACAAAGAAATGGTATTCAGGTGCATACACCTCTAATTATTAGCATCGCTCAAGGCCTCCAAAAAAACTATTCAGGCTAATTTAATTGCAAGATATGGTATAATTCTAACATACAAATGAGGAGCTTTCTTTCGAGATGGGCCAAATCGAAACCAAAACTAGCTCAAATAAGGATATAACTATAAACTTTCCTGTATAAACATAACTAATAAATTGTTAACAATTACTAATCTTTAGAAAAAAAAGTTAAACGTATGAATGTGCCAATACAGCCTTATTTGACTAGTTTCGGTTTGGATTTGGCCCATTTTGAGAAAAAGCTCCTCAAATCTGGGCAAAGCCATCGGAATGACATAATTTTTAAATTGTTCATATATGGCATTGAAAACAGTTAATCTAGAAAACAGTTCATAATGCATGAACTCATATTTCTAATGCAGCATTTTGTGCAGAGCTCCATCCATATCTGCCTAACATTTGCATGATCTACATAAGTCCGGAAATATATCACAGCCTGACAAGTTTCAGCAGGGCAAAATAAAGGGCCATGAATAAAAGCAGCTTAAATAATAGCCAAGTTAATAACACTAAATCGAAGAAGTAATTCACAACAATAATATACTTCATGTGCGACAAAAAAATAAAAACAAAACAATGAATTAGCTCAGAATGCCATTTAACAACTCTACACTGAAATGGATCTTACAGAAAATATGCTCAGGATTGATCCTGACAGTGTGATGTTCTTTCAAGCCAAATAGGCAAAAATTTTCACAATCTGACCACTTCTAAATGCCGTCTTAGTGGCTAGAAATCAAAGCAACAAACTTATGCTGACAACTACAGCAGATTGCATTAACTAAAGACTTCACTGGATGCGACACTGCCTCAGCACAAAGCCAAACATGTGCAAACCTACCTTGCAGCCTGGCAATCTGGCACACCTGCTCCTGGACCTGCTTGCGTGCTGCAGTCAGCTGAGCCATCAGAGCCGACGTCTCTTCGGATGGCTCGGCGGGTGGCTGCTCTTCCGTGCTAGCCTGCCTCATCTTCGCTGCCAGTTGTGCTTCTGCTCCAGAAATGATGACAAACCCACACTCCACTCAATGCCAGTATCACTGTCCAAAAGCATTTTCCAATGCAAGGACCCAATAGTATGAACAGCCTGAGGAAAGCTGCGCTATTTTATTGAATGCAAACGAAAGACGAGCGGTTAACCTGTCTAAAAGGTGTACACAGGTCACCAGTAAGTTTCTCAGTGGTTGAAAAATGAAAAATCGCAGCTAATTGGCAGAGCGGACTGATCATGAAGGGCGTCGTGCTCTAGCTCTGCTTTATCCCTCTCTATTTTTTATGCTGGGATTATCGATTTCAAAGATTTCAACTCTCCATCTACTTTTGCACTACTTTGACAATGATCCACAACTTTTTTTTCTTCTAGTCACGTCAGCTTTTCCCTTCCTACATGTCAAAACATGTGGCTGAAAAAGCAGAAAGAAAGGGATGGCTTATTTGCATCGCTGCAACTAGCAGTGTTTCGACAATGAGTTCGATAATTTTGCAACGGCTATGGGTACATTAGTGTACTTGCCAGCAGAAAAGCCAGCCTTGCGGCTAGAAATACTGCTTTCAGTACAAGCAGAAGAGAGTTTCTATGACATGTGCCACATAGTGTTGAAAAAACGAATAACCACATTGGAACAGAAACAACAACCTAATCTTTACACTTTAAAGGGACACTAAGGTCAAATAACAATTTAAGTGAGAGTGAAAACTCGATCTATGACGTATAAAACGACAATATTATCAACAGCAATGCGCTACGTACCGAGAAATTAAGGTAAATGCATGAGAACACACGCGCTGCCGCAGGACATTTACAAAATGATCCCGATGACGTAAGAGTTACAGCCAACAATTATTCACTAGTAATCGAGCCAGCTGCACTGAATAAAAAACTTTCCGTGCATGAAGAGACCCAATAAAATCCTGCTTGTTCGTTTGTTTGATTCATAGAAAAAAGAACTGCTGGATGTTACTATAGGGAATGGCGCGAGTGGTTCAAAAGTTAAATTTTCCCCTGGTTAAACTGAACAGGTTGAGCCATCTAGTAGGGCCGAGTTGAACCAAGCACGTCTGCTGTCTCCAAGCCAATGGCAGCGAATCGATCAACAGCACGGCAACAGTGACATGAGACGATCTGCTTGAGGCGGGTAATTTGAAGTGTGCTAACCTAATGCGGACCACTAAAACGTGATTTTATTTCAAAATAAGCACTTCCTTGGCACGAATGTAACACTACGAGGTTTCCGGACTGCTATTTCAACAATCAACGTCGACTTAATAGTTGCCCTTTGAGTACTTTTAATACACATGCTCGAACTTTCGGAAAGAATTCTTAGCTGAAATATTTTTCAGCAACAATGTAGCCAGCACTACTCTTGGCTTTTATACCATCATCATGCATCCAATGTTGCTGGTTTTGAAAGAACAGAAATGGACATTGCATGGCAACTATACCAGTTTCTCTTTGTTCAGCCACAAATTGAAAACACAGAAACACACCCCAAATGTGCAGCTTTTCTAGTAGTACATGCTGACAAATGTTAAAAACATGCTATTCAGCCAACATGTCTGTGAAGTGAGCATTACTTGATCATGTCACACTTTGTCTTAATTGGAAACATTCCCACCACAGAGACAAGGCAGCCTCACGATTGTACACACCTTTCATAGCAGCGAGCTCAAGCTGTGCAGCATTTATCTTCTCACGAGATTCAGTCAATAGTTCTGTGCAGTGCAGAAAGCAAAATAAAAGGAAATTTTAGAAAAAAACAAGACCTCCATAACTAAACTCAAAATGTGCAGCGATTCAAAAGCCAAAGCACAAAAAGCATTCCACGAAAAATTATAGGGGCAATTTAATTGTATGAATGTGTGCGTGGTAATATAAAGCTAATTTTAGTGAAGACCTTAGATGTTTTATAATACGGCATGCTTGATATTGCTCACAAGACGATGTACACTTACATCAAGCTAATTGGAGAAAATATAAATTTGGTGATTTATGAGTGCCACAGAAGTATGTTCCAGGACATCAAACAACAACAAAAAAATATGCAGGTCTACAGCCCAAAAGCAGAAATAGCCCAGCATGCATAAATGCAACAATATTCTAAACATGAAATGCAAATCTGCATTATACTAACATACATCCATGCCCAATGTACAATTTAAACAACTCATGCAAACTCAGAACACAGCATGGCCTTATAAAAATGCGTGAAACAAAGTGAAAGTTTATTTTCCAGCTCTAAATAGTCAGACCTACTTTGGCCTTTATTACTTTTTGGTGAACATGTTTTTTTAACCAGGAGCGCCATGCACAGTGGGTGCATTTAATGATGAATTATTATACACATCACAACAATCTGCTAAAAAATTACTTGAAGGCATTAGTCCAAACAGTGCTCAAGCTACTTTCCAGGAATCAACCATTGCCATGGGAAAACATTCTTGAAGAGTTGGTGTCACCAAATATGTGGCTAGTATGTTTTTGTTGCACAAAACTTTTATTGCTCCAGGAAGCATGACACACTCAAAGATTCTTGTATTCTCACAACCTAATTTCATGATCATCATTATCAGCAGCCTGACAATGCCCACTGCAAGGCAAAGGCCTCTCTTATGGCCCCGCCGCGGTGGTCTAGTGGCTAAGGTACTTGGCTGCTGACCCGCAGGTCGCGGGTTCGAATCCCGGCTGCGGCGGCTGCATTTCCGATGGAGGCGGAAATGTTGTAGGCTCGTGTGCTCAGATTTGGGTGCACGTTAAAGAACCCCAGGTGGTCAAAATTTCCGGAGCCCTCCACTACGGCGTCTCTCATAATCATATGGTGGTTTTGGGACGTTAAACCACACAAATCAATCAAAGGCCTCTCATGATCCGCCAATCAACCCTATCTTATCTGCGAACATTTTAAGGTCATAAGCCCACCTTACTTTCTGTCTCCCCCTCACTTACTTGCCTTCACTGAGAATCCAGTCAGTTATCCTTAATGACCAGCGATTATCCTGTCTGCGCGCTACTTGCCCGACCCATGTCCATTTGTTCTTCTTGATGTGAGCTATGATACCGTTGACCCCGGCTTATTCTTTGACCCACTCTTCTTGTTCTTAAGATTACACCTATCATTTTCCTTTCTATCGCTCGCTGAGCAGTCCTCAATTGAAGCTGAACCATTTTTGTAAGCTTCCAGGTTTCTGCTCCGTAGCTAAGTACCGGCAAGATGCAGCTTTTACATACCTTCCGTTCGAGGGATAGTGGCAATCTACCAGTCATGATTTGAGAATGCTTACTGAATGTGATCGACCCCATACTTTATTCTTTTAGTTATTTCACTCTCGCAGTATGGCTCCGAAATTACTACCTGTCCCAAGTAGACATTCTTTTACTACTTCCAGCGTCTCTCCATCTATTGCAAAGTGCTGTTTTCTGCCAAGACTGTTGCACCTTACTTTATTTTTGTGCATATAAATTTTTAGACCTACTCTTCTGCTTTCCGTGTTCAGTAATCATGAGCTGTAATTCAACCCCTGAGCACGTTACTAAGATACTCTCCAATAGCTCTTATCCCTAACTGTTCCCAATCTAGGGCCCTGAAAACATCCTGTGAACACGCAGTGAATAGCATAGGAGAGATCGTGTCTCCAGGCCTTACACCCTTATTTATTGGGATTCTGTCGCATTCTGTATGGAGAAATATGGTGGCTGTAGATCTACTGTAGTAAGTTTATGTAGGGTTCGCGATGCCCTGACTCTGCAGTGCCTACATTACTGCTGATGTCTCGAATAAGTCAAATGCTTTCTCTTAATCTATGAAAGCTATGTATAGGGGTTCTTTGTATCCTGTGCTTTCTCTATTACCCGATTGATAGTATGAATATGGTCTGTTGTCGAGTAGCAGGTACAAAATCCTGCTTGGTCTTGCTTGGTTGCTATTATTTTTGTAAATAGTTTGTAGAGAACGGACAGTAATATGATCGGGCTGTAATTTTCCAAGTCCCTGACATAGAGATTCGCTCACAGTCTAATAGCATAATGAAGAACAAGGCGTGAACTGCAAGTTACCACACTTTATTTATAAACAAGGAACGGGCAATGAGGCACCGTGTGTCGGTTAGCGGGACTGCAGCGGATGAATGTGGAGGCATTTACTACGCGGGGGAAATCCGCATTTTGACAACTGAAGTTCGGGTGCATTTATTATGTGAGTTCATTCATAACGCGAGTAAGTACGGTAGCTGCTTTCCTTTTTTTTGCTTCTCCTGAGTGACCATCATGAAAGAAATGTTCTGAAAGACTATGCATTCAGAACTATGCAGCTGCCAAAAGTTTACACCAGAAGACAAGTAGAATACCTTAGGTTTCTGCAACAGCAATTCTGTGCTTGAATGGTTCATCATAGCATCACTAGGTGGCCCCATTTTATTAGGTTTCATGTTTACTGCTACAACGATCTACTATGCTAAAGCAAAGAAGTGTGCGAACGAACTAAGATTGAAGTCCTTCGCGAAAACCCGAGAAAGTTTCACTACTTCAGCAACAAGCTTATAAAAAATTAGCAGCTGACAGCCATAGCTCCCTTGGCTTTTCCGATGCAGCGGACCTATGGGTCATCCCTCATTGCACTTCACTCTAATGTGGTATGACGTCACTAGAACTTTCATTACACATCCCACACAGTGACAGTGCCAATGCGATAGCGGTGGGTCTTGATCGCGAGAATGTGTGTTTAGACACACTTCGCAAGTGAATAAAAACATATTCTAAACGTTCGCTTTGTCTAACACTTTGTGCAGAGTGTCCTTGATATACAGAGAATGTCTTTTTATAGCCTCAAAATTTGGTGACACCACCCCTTTAAGTAGCTGGCTGTGTGATACATTCCTAATGCAATAGTTTCTAGTGTAATGTGTCACCCTTTTTAGCCCAAGGCCCTAGCCCAAGGTAAAAAAAAAAGGTACAATTTGCATGCCTGAAAAATCTTCAGGCATGCAAGAAAACAGCACTCTCAACTGCTGCATCAAGGTGATCTGCACATATTGCTTTAGTCAAGTTACATGAGAATGAAGCACCTACGCTTCAGCAAGACATTGCAGTGAGAAAGCCAAAGCCACAAGTCAAGTGCCAAGTAAAGCATGAAACAGTACCAGTGATCAGCCTAACCTTGCATGAGAATCAACATGCACGACTGCTGTCTTTCGTAGAGGCTTGTGAGCTCACGAGTGTCTACAGGGGGAGGAAGAGGTCGGAACACACAGTGCAGCATGCCCGCCACCCACAACAGCAACAGAGGTGGTGTTAGGTCATGTCACATCATATCACAAAACAAACAGGTATGGATTAAACAGGCACAAGAGAATGACAAACACTATCTATGCAGACACAAACAAAGCATAACTGTTAGTATGATTTGTTGGGCTAGTTAAAACAGAATATTGAGACAATAGCACTCAGAAAACGAGGACAAAAAAAAATGACAGCCTTTGTCTCTCTCATCCTTGCCCAATGAGCACTACTGTCTCTGTAACTACAACTACAGTGTTAGTAGTTATTATTAAGATTAGTGCATTTCAAGTGGAACAATGATTACACGTGCTTCACTCGTTTGGTGCCCCAAGTTTCACACGATTTATCAAAGTGTCTAGGATAGTGCGAAAACAGTAAAACAACAATTACTAGGCAATGATACGTGTGAATTTTTCCATGTTTCATTTTGTTGATCATGTTCTAAATACACCACACTGGCCTAAATTTATCTTTGCATTAAAGGAGGCTAAGCAATCATTGAATACAATGGCTGCACTAGACGTCTAAATCGTACAGAGCCAACTGCATACAACCAACTTCTCACATGCCCTTGGCGACTTGAGGTAAATGTGAGTGCTAGCAGGCAATAAGGAGGACTACATCCAACTACCTTTGCCCACTAAGAGTAAAAGGCTTACAAAGAGTTGGGGATATTTACATTTATTGTCTTAGAATTTATCCAGCTACACTGCACAACTTTCAAATTTGAAAAATTCTCAGTGAAGTAGAGATGGAAGTTCTGCATTCCATGTTAGCGAGAGGTCAATTAGCAAAACTTTCATTAGCATTAGCAAAACTCTATAAAGCCTTCACAATTTAAATTTTAATATTTAATTTCAAGTTGCATAATCACAGTTCCACTGCCATCGGTTAGAAGTCTTAAGGAATCATAATTAGTGAGCAACTTTGTAATCTACGGATGGCTTACCAAATAATGAGAGTGTAGAAGGGCGTGGACATGTGTCCAAAATCTTACAAGCTGTAAATGCTCTGTCGCCATTGATGCACAGATGTAGAAAATTGTACAAGTTTTTAGCAAGAGTATCTAAGAAGTGTCAGCAAAGTACACACACACTCCAGCCGTCTCATAATCAGACAAGCCATCAGTAGATGGTGCAGTGATATGACTCGATTACTGCTTGTGTGTCCAAACAGCCAAGAAAAGTGTGGCATGCAAGAGTTAGAATCCACACATAAACATGCAAGGACTTCACAAAAGGGAACAGGTCAGGCACCTACAAAAACAATTGGTGAAAGTTGGGTAACTAAACGATGCAATATCCATGCAAAAACGTGGTAGGTAGGATGCAAGGTGCTTATTGCCACAGAAGTGCCTCTATGACTGAATGCCTACTCGTGATTTGTGCAACATACTAACTTCCTACTGTCTCCTACAGACAGATCACTATGTGCTGTCACTACAGTGTAATCACTTTAGTGTAAATCACTATGTACGTATTGAGGGCTTAGTGCAGTATACCAATAGACAGTACTATTTCAAAGAATGCCACAACTGCATGACTGTTCGCTATGACTGCGGTCTGTGCTATGACTGTCTAAATCCTTCAGCTTCAGTACAAAGTGATCTTACGACTTCCCTTACTTTTAGAATGATGCATGTGCTGTTGAGCACTACTACCAGTCTGATCCCTTCAGGCAAACCATCTATGATGTTTTTTAGTAATGGTACTAAGGTCAAGCACATAATCAATGTACTGCAAACTGTCAAATAAAAATTAGTCATAGCCGAAGTTTGGCAACGAGATGGTTGCAATGACCATAACTGCAGCACTACAATGCTTCACAATCTCAGCAACTACTAGTACAACAATGCAACACCCATGTTATAGTTGAGGCATTTTACAATGTTAAAGATCTTTAGATTTCAGTATATCATACCACACAGATATCAAGGATGGCACAAAACAGTGACTAAAACCCAGTAACGTGATATGTCTGTCCATTTTATCAAAATGAACTAATTAAGCGAAGTCTGCCAAGTAGCTTGGCCAATAAATTTTCAGTGTTTAGTTTGAAGCACTGTCACAACAAACTTTGCCCACTAGTGACACTTATTCACTCCATTTACTCTTGACTCACTTTCCAACCATGCACAAGGTGCAACACGCTATCCCTTATTCCCCTTAGCATTGAAACCTGCAGGTAGGAAAGCTTTTGTTACATAATCCTTCACTAATAATTAAAGACGAGTAGTGGTAACATACCGTAATACCCAACATCTTCTTACAACCAACAGCTTGCAATAGTTCCAAGGGGTGATAATGTTGAGCAAGAATCATGCCAGCTGTTCACAACGCTAGATACTTCCGAAAGAAGGCAACTGTACAGGCAATCATGACTAGAAACTACAATCGCAAGGACAAAAAATCGATCGTGCGAAGATTTGTGCGAAGTGCATGCTATCAAAGGTATACACACCGAAGAACTCACCCCTAAGTTGAGCAATTTCGGCTTGCAATTCCTCAACATTACGATGATTCTCGTCCCTTCCTTTGTCCTCCAAGCTTTGCAGCTGTTCCAACTGCTCCTCCAGTTCACAGACCTTAGCTGAAAAGAGAAAAAGTCACGTGTTTATTACATCAACTGTACAACAAAATAACTTCAGGTAAGTTACACACTCATACCTTGATGTAATGAACCCAGATATAACTAAATATCGGTTATAACCAAGTAAATGAAAAACACTCTCGCAATAGGCACAATGTTAAGATATACCTTAGTAACAAATTTTTTTACAATAAAATGATTTTCATGTAAGATACAAAATAACAAAGTATATGAGAAATAGTCTTGAAATAAATACAGTGTTAGGAATATACCTTCATAAAACATTTTTGAATATAACAAACTTACTTTCATGTAGTGTACAACTTTGTTACAATGAAGTTTGAGTATTACGAAAAGCAATGCAGACTGCCCCTCTAGCACAAGACTAAAATGAAACTGGTGCCACAATTTGTTCGCACCAGAAGCCATAAAAATATTGACTGTTGTTTTGATATTGCCACGTTTCTTTCAAGATTTGTAATCGCCTCACTATACTACGTTCAGCGCAAACTGCCCCTAAGTTGTTTGAGAAGCTGCGATGCCGTAGTAGATCATTTTGTTAAGATTACACCCACTTCGTGAACATTACAGATTATTCTGGAAGCTATGTCGCCGCTAGCGATAATGCTAGAATATTCGATGGCAAGAGTATAAATGCCGACACGCTTCGCCACTTGTCAGTTGATTGACGGCACACGCTCCGTTCGCCGCTATCAGTGCAAAACTGCAATCCAACTTTCCATTTACTGGGCACAGGTTCGCCCAAATAAACAGTTTATTATTCGACTTGCAGTGTGCTCCATTCGTCCATATGCGGTGTTAACATCCCAAAGCCATCATATGATTATGAGAGGCGTGGTGGTGGACGGCTCTGGAAATTCCGACCTCCGGGGGTTCTTAAATGTACACCAAAATCAGAACACACAGGCCTACAGCATTTACACCTCCATCAAAAATGCAGCCGCCGCAGCTGGGATTCGATCTCTCGACCTGCAGGTCAGCAGCGGAGTACCTTAGCCAGTAAACCACTGCGGCGGGGCAGCCATACTACAGCGGTGACGAAAAGCTCCGTGCTTCAACTTCCACTACGGGAGGTACGTGGTTCGATGCCCAGTGTGCCCCGGGTCTTCTAATGGGCACAGAGGGGCTTCGGAGTGGTGCTACGGCACCACATGAGGCGAAGCTTACTCAGCCACGGAGACTCCAAACCCATTACGCGAGACCTTAAGCCATAAAAGGGTCATATTGTAGTTGTGCATCTACTTTTTGCAAACATTGAAATAAAAACCCGGCCCGGTGATCAGTGCTATAGTCCGACCAATGCACTTAACGCTCGAACTAACCAATTCAGCACAACCAAGTCATAATAATTTAGGTGATGCAAGGTAGTCATGTTTTGTACGATATATCCACTTAATTCCTATGTTAAACGTTTTGCAAATAGTGAATTTCAGGTCCAAAGCAAATTCGTAGCGAAAAGTGATTTTGGTCGAATATTTTCGAATCGCAATTGAATAGTACATACACATTTTTATAAAGGAAACTAGGCATACTTGTGATGACCTCACTAACCTGCACAATATTTTTTTTTAATTGAAGCATAGCTGGAGGGGAGTTAAAAGCAAGTGAAAAAACTTCGAATTCTAGCAGGATCTTACTTTCAGTAGTATGCAAGTGATAACCTGTAAAAAATGTAATGTTTAAAATTTACTACACTTGAGCATACCAGCCAGTGTAAACAGTTTTCAAACTTGATAAAATGATATATCGATTTCAGGGTAATGTGTTAATTTAACCTTAAAGTGAAGCTTCACGAGAGTGTGAATTTCTCCTGAACAAGTGTTCTTACGGCTTAGCGCTTCTGTATTGCAGTAAAATTATATTTACAAGAGATTACACGCAGACTTCTATACGTTTATTTGTTCATTGTGAATACTTCGACATTTTCAATCACTTAAATTCGAACCGAAGCGAACTCTAATACTGTACTATTCGTCCAAATATTAGAAGTGTTCAAATATTCGCTCAAGCTTACTTGTGTTTGATTTGAGACTGCAGGCCTTGTGCCCATGACAGCTCCCCATCCACACACACCCACAAAAGAAAAGGGGAGGATGATCTGTGTTGAATTCAAACTTACCTTGGAGTTCATTTGACAGCACACGTTGAGTCATTTCTTTTTCAATTACCGATGTCTCTAAAGTGGCTAACAAGTTGGAAAAAAAAAAGTGCAACATGTAAATTTCAATCAACGTAAATTAACTGTAAGAGCTTATCAAAATTATGCCAGTGCTTACAGCTCAAACTGATTTCCAACTCTTTGCTTCCAGACATCTCGGACTCTTTCTCCGGTTGTGTGGGAGATTCTGAAATGTAAAATAGTAAATGCTGTTCACATCCGTTCCCCAGTCAAAGCTGGCATCACAAAAATATCAGCTTGGCAGAAGAATCGAACACTATCAATCATCACCTACTAGGCAAATGATCTTGTCATGCCCATTTCCAGAAGAGGAAGAATCTGCACCAGCTTAACGAACAATGATTAGGTGTAATGTTTATTGCTGCAAGGGCTGCATGTGACCAAAGAATGCCATGCCCGCCGTGGTGGGTTGTAAACGAGATGCAAAAGTGGGCTGCAATTGGTGGATGTGGCGTGGCTCCTGAAACTAGTTGTTACAAAGGGTGTAAGCAATGAATACGAATGATGCTTCGATTATCAATGCCAAGAAGTGAGCGATATTGGGGTAGCTATTGCTGAACGCAGCACGCAGCACTGAAAATAGCATGAGAATTGCATGAAAGTGTAACGAACCCCTAGCAGCGTGAGCTATCAATTCATATACGCTGGGACAGCCTGTAATCTACATATACAGAGCAAAACCGAAAACAGTTTATTTACGCGATATCCTTAGGCACTTTGCACGAAAGCTAATGTGGCAATCACCTTTCATGGTTTCATCAGCAAGGCTCTTTTCAAAGAACAGTTCCCCTCCAGTATCCTTCGATTCTGAAAAAAAAAAAAAGAAAGAAAAGAAGTCGGAAAATACATTAACAATGCACAGATTTACAAAGACATGATAAACAGAGCCTAATGAGACGTTTTCCAAGAAGCAACTTTCAAGATCTTTACTTTAATACAACCTGGAATCTCCCATTCCAAATTACTTTTTTTTCAAAAAACTCTAGACACTTGTGAACTCAAGTGTGAGCGAGAATGACCCTTGCTCGAGCGAGCAGGTTACGAAAAACGTATGCAAGGACCCCACAACATCTTCAGTAACGCACCGTCGTGATTCGGCATGTTTTCCTTAGAATTCAGTGTTTCCAAGCCATCTTCAATGTACTGCGCTTTTTTCACTTGATCAAAGCGAGCTGTGAGGAAGAAAAAGCACAATTAGTTCCAACGAAGCGTGCCTAACAGAACCACGCAAGAGTGACAGTTATGGGACCCATCCACTGTCCTTGCTCGAACAAATGACTTAATGCAGCTAACATTACAAGGCACATTTGAAAAGCTTGTGAAATAATCATATAGAAACAAACCTTTCATGGCTGATAACTGTTCCTTTGCGAAATCATTGTCAGCTCGAAGAGACTCGATCTGGAAAAAATACGAGAATGTAGGAACGGTTTTTCGTGATATACAGAAGCTGTATATCAACTACTAACAAAAAGTTTGTGAAAATATTCGAATAAATACTGATGCACTGAAAATCTCTTCAATTTGAATTTAAAGTGAAAATTTTGAAGTACTTTAAATTAACAAATAGATAATATAAAACCGCATGTAACTCTCTCGAAAGGTGGTTTCACGGCAGTGGAAGGGTACAAAGCCGGGAAAGCACTTGCCTAAAGTGCCAACCACTGGCACACGTATGCTCGCGTCTACGCGTCAAAAGCGTCAAATGCGCCTCTCGGAGTCGGCGTCGGAGGGGCATACGCGAGGAGGCGCGAGGGATCAAGCCGGGCTTGATATTTTTGCCACTAGCTCACCATCCACCACCCAGCTTAGAAGTCATTTGTAGTGCTCTCTAACACGTTCAAATAAAATGATCAAACATTAGATTGATCTACTTCGTTTGATTCCTAATACCAGTGTGTCTGACTCTTTGGAGGCACTTGTATTATAATGTTCTACTTCTCCGATTTCTTACCAGGGTGCACTCAAGGGGCTATGATATTTGTTTACCTTGGCACACTTATTGTGATATTACTGTTTAAATCCTTTCATTTTGTATATATATACGCCACTTTTGCAGTAGCCTCACATAGGGCTGCCGTATTTGAAAATAAATAAATATACCACCCGAAAGTGTTCCACGCTGTGCTGGGTTTCAATCTGATCACTAATATCTGTTGCATCATGATGTGTCGGGTGTGTTTTATTGAATTGGAGAACATTTTGGCTGCCATCCATGAAGGGTTCAGTTCCAGTATTATGACCGATATCTGTGACTTCATGAAGAGTTAGGCACGGTTTGTCGTTTTAGAAAATACTTTAACTACAGACAACGTCCAGAAGTTTTCCATGCAGGGTTCAGTTGCAGTCCTATGACCAATATCTGTCTTACCATGAAAGTTTCAAGTACAGTTAGTTGCATTAGAGCATATTTTGACAATAAAAAATGCCCAGAGGCATTCTACGTAGTGCTTGGTTCCATTCTTATGACCAGTACCTGTTGTATCATTAAGAGCCAGATGCGGTTTCTTGCATTAGAGGATATTTTCAATACGTTTATCATTCAAAAGCCCTCCGCACAGGGCACAATTACCGCCTCATGACCTAAATCCGTCGCATCATGAAGAATAGGGTGTGGGTAGTTGCATTGGAGAACATTTCGGCTCCAGACAACGTTCAAAAGCCTTCTATTCAGGATTAAGTTCCAATATTATGACCGATATCTGTGACTTCATGAACAGTTGGGTGTCATTTGTCGTTTTAGAGAATACATTGACTAAAGACAACGTCTAGAAGTTTTCCATACAGGGTTCACTTCCAATATTATGACCGATATCTGTGACTTCATAAACAGTTGTGTGTCCTTTGTCCATTTAGAGAATACTTTGACTAAAGGCAATGTCCAGAAATCTTGCATTAAGGTATCAATTCTAATATTATGACCAATATCTGTGACTTCATGAACAGTTGGGTGTCTGTCGTTTTAGAGATTACTTTGACTGAAGACAACGCCCAGAAGTCTTCCATACAGGGTTCAGTTCCAATATTATGACCAATATCTGAGACTTCATGAACAGTTGGGTGTCGTCTGTCGTTTTAGAGAATACTTTGACTAAAGACAACGTCCAGAAGTCTTGCATTAAGGTTTCAGTTCTAATATTATGTCCGATATCTGTCACATCATGAAGTGTCGGGCTCAGTTAGTTGCATTAGAGCACATTTCGACTATGGAAAATGCCCGAAGGCATTCTGCGCAGTATTTGATTCCTATCTTATGACCAATATCTGTTGTATCAATAAGAAACAGGTGTGCTTTGTTGCATTAGAGGATATTTCAAACGCACACACATCAGCCGAAAGCCTGCTACTCTGGCCTCAATTGTAGTCTTATGACTGACTTAAATCTGTCAGATCATGAAGCTTCAGGCAAAATCAAGTCGAGTGCTATAAAATATGTGTAAATATACTGAAGGTATCAGCATATTCAAGATATTGTTAATAAATTTTGTAGTGCAGGTATAGAAAACCCGGTGGTTTGTAAACCTGATCAGGAGGGCAGCCGCCGCCTCATTCTCTAAGGAGAGGAGGGGGGGGGGGGGGGAGCTCAATGTCAACTCCATATATTAACATAATAGTGAGGGGGCACTAAGTCAGCCCCTACATGGAGGGGGGGCACTGGGACAAACTTTCCCCCCCTCCTCCTTAAGGAGAACTCTGCACACGCCTATTATAGACGTACAGTATGCTAGACGCGAATATTCATTCGCGGGAGCGACACGCACACCGATATTGATTCCTGGTGAATACCACTATAGTTACTTTGGGCACTGGAATGTCAATTACTTCTAAAATAGACTAAACTGTGGTGGGTGAAGCACTATCAATTTTTTAACGTGTTCTCGTATCCTCTAAAACATATGAACCCGCTCCAGTTAGGAATGTGCCGTTCTGTGCTGAACTTGAACAGTTTTAAGCTAAAAGTTCAAGCAACATTGTGCATCGGCCTTGGACGCGTGGGCGTCAACGCGTGCCAATGGTTGCGCGCCCTTTTCCTTCACAGGCGCGACTAGACGCTTTCGACGCGTAGGCGCGTGCATATGCGTGCCAGTGGTTGGCACTTAACTGACCCTTACATCAATTCATTTCTTTTTTTTTAAGTTTAAAACCTTGTTATACCTGCTTATATGCTCTAAATACAGTAAATTTTAAAACCGATCATACTTTACTGGTTATCACTTGCACTCTACCGAATGGCAAGTTCTACCCCTATTCAAAGTTGCTTCTACTTCCTTTGAACTAAAAGAATGGCATTTGCACAAGCCTTGTTCAAACTTTAAAAAAATATTGTGCATGTTAGTTAGGTTATGACATATATGCCCATTTTTCTCTATACTATGTGATATAAACTATCATCATCATTTATTTTCCCTTAAGGGCCCCTGACGGGGTACTACATAAGGGGGGTGGTCGAACAAGGATACACAAAGGCAATTCCAGACCAAGAACATAAAGCAGGTTAAAATTAAAGAATTGTAATTACAGGGCATGTGACCTGTAAAAACAGAACTCCGAATTCCAAATTCTATTTGTCACTGTTCACTACAAATTCACCTCGAACCTAAAATTTACTATTAGCACAAGCCTAAACATTACACAATAGCTAGAGTGAGAGGCCCAGATCCAGATGTATGAACTACAACACTATAATACCATATTTACTCAATTCTACCGCCCCCTCGATTGTGACGGGCACCCAATTTCCACGACGAAAAAAAAAAAATTAAGACATCGATTGTAACACGCACCCATTTTCTCCAACGGAAGAGAAAAAAAAAGTCCGTAGGAGTCAACCTTCGCGCACTGAGAACAAGTATTTGGGTTTTGATGCGCTGAAGTTTCGAAATACAAAACACACAAAGTCAAACAGCCAGCCCTGCAGCTAAAACTGTGATCATTACGGCGGCGTTACGAGTCGCGTAATAGGTCAGTCCTCGTCGCTGTTGGACAACTCCTTATCGCTGTCAGCGGCCCAAAGCATCTGATCCTCGGTACCGTCCATGGCATTGGAGATGCCACATTTCTTGAATGCCTTGATGACCATGGCTGATGGTATTGCACACCATGCGTCCTTCACCCACACAACAAAGTCTTGTAGAGAGGCGCGCTTCATCCTGTTGCCTGGCATGAAATCATGTCGGCCATTGATCAGCCAGTCGGTGTAAAGCGCCCGAATCTTGTTGTCCTTCACCGGCTTGTTTAGGCAGACAGCTAGCGGTTGAAGTTGTGACGCCATGCCGCCAGGTAAGACTACAAGGTGCGTATTGCACGCAGCGAGCTTGTCCTTGATCCGTTGGTCGAGATGGCACCTGAACGCATCGAGCACGAGCATCACTCGCAGGCCCAAATTGGCGCCGGGCCGCTTACACCAGACGTGATGGATCCAATCGGCGACCAGGTTCGTCGTCATCCAACCTTTCTCGTTGGCCCGCACAATCACACCACTCGGGCAAACGACTCCTTTCGGGAGCGTCTTCCATTTAAATATCAGGTACGGAGGAAGCTTATGCCCATCTGACGTGGAACAGAGCATTGCCGTCACTCTAGTTTTTTCGCGGCCCCATGTCAGCACGCGAACTTGCTTCTTCCCTTTCTTCTCGACGGTTGTGGTGCCAGGCATGTTGAAGTAAAGAGGCGTCTGATCAGCATTCCCGATTTGCCCAAGCAGGTAGCCGTTGTTGTGCCGCAAGTTTAGGACAAACCTCTGAAAACTGTGAAGCTTTTCTTCGTACTCCTCCGGCAACTTTTGGCATATGCCCGTTCACCTTCAGACGGAAAAGCCTTTCCTCTTCATAAAGTTAGCCTGCCAGCACCTGCTAGCTTTGAACTGGCTCCGCGTTAGCCCTTTTTCGAAGGCTAACTGCATTCCCCACACTTAGAGCAGTTGTGTTATCACGGGCCACTGTGCCGCTCACTGCTCAAGCACATACTCGGCGAGCAGCTCTTCAATTTGCGGAATCCCACCCTGCTGTGGTCCACTGAAGCCTTTACGTGAAGCTTTGATGTCGACAATTTCTGCTTTTGTTTCCGCCAGTTCCACAAGCACGTTTCGGGAACTATGAACGACCGCGATGCAGCCCGATTTCCATCCGTTTCTGCACACGCGATCACTTTTCTTTTAAAAGCGGCATCGTGGTACACTCGTCGAGTCTTCGGAGTCGGCCCTTCCATGCCGTGGATGCACTACAAGATGACGAACTCCTCAGCACACGTGACGCACACGGGAAACACAATGGCAGAAATGGCCGACGCGTCATGCCGACGCACGTAGGGGGCGGCCATTTTTAAAATGCTGATGGCAATAGAATGACCGTATTCATTTTTTTTTTCGTACTCGATTCTAACGCGCATGCGACTTATGACCTTGCTTAACTGGAAAGAAAGTGCGCGTTACATTCGAGTAATTACAGTACTATACATAATTACCACACACCCCAAACAGCAAGAAAGGTACAATTACACTTCGGAATCTAAGGCAACTAAGTCAACGAAAACTACTAATTCAAAATATTCTGAATCTTGTGGGGATTCATGCATAAATTACACTAAACATGAAATAGACGGCCACTACAAACTTTATTTTTCTATTTGTGGGAATTGAGGCTTTAGCCCATTGCCATTACGCGGGCTTTTCGCCTATTTCTGCCATTCTCACGCCCTAACATGACTCTCCCCTTCTGCGTGCTGTCTGTATTGGAAGAACGGGAGTGACGTTGACCCCTCTCACAGGCTAGGTTGAAGAGCGGTGTGGTGTGTTCTCGCCTGGTCTTACTACGCCAAGTAGTGCCTCTCGGAGCCAATGCGACTGATCGGGCCCTGTGGTCACTGATCGTTAGAGTGCGCAGCATAGTTGCAAGGGCCCAATTCCTTCTGCGGCGTGTCACCGTGAAACCCGATTGCCCACGGAGACGTGCTCGTGACACCCTCTGTATTGTACTTTCGCCCGTGGCAAGGATAAGCCTCGTTTGCTTTCCTGCTGCCTTTTGCAATGGGCACTGCATTGCGTTTGTGATGTTGCTGCAGTTAATTTGCGTGGAACGAATCATGAAATATCGAAGTTTGTGAGGCCACGCAAACCCGCTGACGCAGCAACACGCTTTTCTGACCACGGCCGCTGATTCTTCGAACACCACCACGTGCAATGATTTAGACGGTCGTGCACTTTCTTTCCAAGTTTTTCCACGTGCGAGTTTCGCGGACCTTTCAAGCAAGCGACCCAACCTGCCTCCTTCCCGTGTGTTTTGGTTTTCAAGGTCACCCTCCTGCCACATCCTCCCCTCTCTTGATAACAACCCCTTCGCCCGTCTCTACCACTCCACAACGCCTGCCACACTGGTTCGAATTAGTTTCATTTTCTGGCTGGAAACAGGCCCAGAGCTGTTCCACGCGTTCTGGCATGTGTGTCGCATGCGCTCGTCTTGCTCGCTCTTGGTGTGCGTGTGAGGTCATGATGGCCGACAGGAAGACTAGCACGCTTTTTCGTGCCGCTCAACAAAACATTGAAAGTGTGACCACTTGGCTTGAAAGTAATTCGCGCGTTAGGTGCCGCGTTGCGGAGTGCTCGCTCATAGCTATTGACCGCCTGGCAGCCAATTCGCCGCTTTGGACGTCCCGGTATTCCGCTGTCGAGATGGTGAATATTTCGTGGGCTGCGGTGACGACTACATGTGCGCGAAACTGTTTTCACGAGGCCGACTTCTTCGACGTCGTGCCCGATGCCGAGCCTGAAGCTTCCGAACAGGACCATTGCGGTGGCGATTTGTAGCAGCGCGTTGTCAACTCCGACCAGGGAGAGTGGGTGGGATATCTGTTGCGATGGTTTAATTACGGCCGATAATGCCTACACTGCGGAACCGTGCACGGATTGGCACATTGTGAATGGAGTACGTGACGAGAGCGATTTGGAGGAATCGGATAGCGATAACGACGAAACTTTGGAGCCAGTGCTGCCCGCAGCTTATGCCAGATGCAACTATGTTATGAGGGCAGAGTATTACGGGAGACACCATAGTCAAAGTGTCCGCAAATTTTGACCACCTAGGGTTCTTAATATTGCAGGCAAATGAAAGTACACGGGCTTCAAGCAATTTTGTCACCATCGAATATGTGGCCACAGCGGCCGGAATACGATCCTGCAACCTGCAAGTCAGGACTCGAGCACCATAGCCACTATGGTGGCGGGTCATATGGTAGTTGAATCAGTGCTCATAGATTTAGTGCACATATTTTCTTTGGTGTTTAAAGCAAGACTATGCAATGTGAAACTTACTTTTGCTGAAAGCACCAGTTCAGCTTTCTGAAGTGCCTGGATATGATTCTCCAGAGAAGTTTTCTCTTCAGTCATGGCCTGATTTAACTCCTCAGCTTCCTGCATAAGCATAAAAATTATTTTTGTACATATAATACCAGTATTTGAACATCAAAGGACAAAAAACTACACTGAACCAAGTAAAGGAATGTAGAAAGCAGAAAACTAAACACTGTAAAATAAGCATAGCATCATCTTCAACCCTTAAATGTCTTGCTAGTACATATCTTTAAGATTGTGTTTTATAATAATTGCAACGCATTCGCAGTGTAGTTCAGACATCATCATGAGTGTCATGATAATTGTACCCAACCACCCAGCACAATCACCCCCCAACGGTTTGGGTCTCATGTAATAAATAAAAATATAACACAAGCTAACAAATTCATAACGCAACCACCAACAGGTTTTACAAGTTCTTACACCAAGAACATGCCAGGGCCATGTCACAAGAAACATACTACTTGTTTAGGTAGTCAAATTTATACCTACAAGACAAACTAATTCTGACAACTACCGCAATTGAATTAATCTGCCGAGGATGACGGAACTAGACGGCTGTAGTAATAACACCACAGCTCGCAACACTTTGTCAAGAGCAAACAAAAATTGCCCACTGCACACTTTCCTTGCATTTCAGTGAGCGTTAACAAAACCAGACCATGAGACCTCAAATTCACCAACCTTGAGCTGGGTCTGCAGCTGTGCTATTTCCTTTTGATGCTTATCAGTGCGGGTCGCCAGGGCAATAATCTCTTTCTGAGCTGCTTCGTAGACTTCTCGCAGTCGCGAGCATTCGTCCTCGCTATTGGAAGTAGTATACTGCAAAAACAATGCAAACATATTTTTCGTACACTCAGTCAGAAGGAATGAAAAAGGAACTATTCCTATGCATGAGATACAGTGGATTCCATTTTGGGACAGAGGCCAGTGCTGCACATGCCAAGAAGGCAGCTTGGCTCTCATAGTACAGTGGCATACCTCTAGTTCCTGTACACGTCGAAGGGCTTCGAGTTTTTCCTGTAACGCTTTCTTCAACGACTCCTGCAAGAAAGCATTTCCGTAAGGATTGATCTTTTTTTGGCTGTAGTGTCTGCAAATTGAGTTAAGTGAATAAAAGGAAAGCTTACCTTTGCGGTGTCTTCATACCTCTCTCGCTCCTTCTGTAGCCGAGCAATCTCTTCTCTTAACTTGTCATCTGTAGCTGACTGAAAAAGCAAGGATCGTAAGCGTGGTCAAATGCCGTGCGGTATTTTTTAGCAACCCCTGTGCAAGGTCGCCATAAATATAATGAAATACAAACACAAACACAACGTAACCAGTACTGGTTAGAGATGCACTACAGTTCCTGCTTACCAATATACCGCAACTAATGTTGTTATGATGATTTAGGCTACGCTTAAAGCTGTGAAAGCCGTAGATGAATGTTCAAACGCACTGAAAACTTCGTATCATCTTCATGCACAACTCTCGATTGATTTGCGGGGTTTAACGTCCCAAAACCACCATATGATTATGAGAGACGCCGTAGCGGAGGGCTCCGGAAATTTCGACCACCTGGGGTTCTTTAACGTGCACCCAAATCTGAGCACACGGGCCTACAACATTTCCGCCTCCATTTCATGCACAACTCTGTTGCAACAGTGTAGCTGTGCTTAATATATATCCAAGAAAACTGCGTTCTCACCTTAGCACATGCTTGTAACTGCGCTTCAAGCGTTTCAATCCTGTTCAGCAGCCGGTCTTCTTCAATCATGGCCTGCAACACCAAAAAAAGAACTTCTGGACCACACTGAGCTAGTAAACAGACTTTCACAGCTACTCATCAAGATATTAGCTCCAATGAAGCAGTACTAATTAGAAAAATGAACCAAGCACAACTTTCCTGCACAAAGTTTTTTTTAACAAATAAATGTATACAAATCTGCGCATAACACCCTGTAAAGGTGGTTTTACTGCAATACAAATGTGCTAAACCGTGGAAACATTTAAGATAAATTTGCACTGCCACGAAGCCCCACTTGAAGGTTAAATGAACACATTACTCTGATATCGATTCACGACTTTTTAAAGTTTAAAAGCTCGTTATACCGGCTGTTATGCTATAAGTAGAGTAAATTTAAATGTTACATATTTTACAGGTTATTGATTGCATTCTTCTGAAAGTCAAATCCTGCTACAATTCAAAGTTGTTTCTACATTCTTTTAACCCCCCCCTCCAAACAAAAAGGCATTTGCACAGGCCTTGTTTCAACCTAAAAAATACATGTATATTGTGCAGGTTAGTGAGGTATTCACAAATATGCCCATTTTTCGTTATAAAAATATGCCATATCTGCTATTGGAATTCGATTCGAAATTATCCGACCAAAATCACTATTCACTTCAAAATTCGCTTCAGACCTTAAATTCACTATTCGCGCAAGCCTAGTAAAGTGTTGTCAGCAAAACTTCGGTTGCCCGAAATCATGTACATAAGTAACATTTGGCTTCTGCATTGCCTCGTATTGATAAGACAGCTATTAAAGTATGCATAGGAATCCTCTCAAACTTTTTTTCTGCAGTTTTGCTTCGAAGCGCTTGAAAAATATTTTAGCATTGTTTAAGAGACATACGAAAAGTAATCGATTCGCACTTGCACTTCAATTTTCAAATTCCTTTAGCAGCCAGAATTTCACTTTTCACACAGCTCTAGATAAAAACTTTTTACGTCCAGCTCCAAGATATTTTCAAAAGCATGTCATGCCTGAATCATGTCACATGCGGAAATATTAAAAACATGACAAGAATAGAGTATGCATTCGCAGAAAAATGTTCAGGGAATTCGCATTGTTGCAAACACTTTGGGAGTGACACAAAGGATTTCACATTCGTTAATTTAGTTTGTCACTACACTAAAACCTGCACTTTAACAGCACAGTTCATTGTGCCATAACAAATTAATGAAATTCTGGGGTTTCACAAACCAAAACTATCGCGAGATTATGAGGCATGCTGTACTGGTGAACTTTGGATCAATTAATCGCACCTCTGTTCTAGATTGTACAACTAGATCTAAATATACATGGGTGTTCTTGCATTCTGTGCCTATTAAAACACGGCTGCCATGGCCACGCCCTTGAACTTAGCAATGCAGCACCCGAGCCGCTAAGTGACAACTGTGGGATCTTTAGCACTGTTGTTTCAGGCAACTGAATCAATACTCCTGCTGACCAGTTTCAAAATTAATGTGTATAATAAGTTTAGCATCAGACTACATCAATTAGTTAGGCATTTATTCAATTAAATTTGAATACTTAAAAAAAAACGACTTGAAGAGTAATTCAGGGACTAAAAACGTCGCCCAGAAATAATATATGTGCCCCCCAAAACAAAGAAAAACAACTCCGCACCTTCCAATTGTTCTCGCTGGCTTCTTGTGTGCTCGTGACCACTCGCTGAAGTGTGGCTATCTTGTTCTGAATAATCTGCTCCCTGTGAAGTGCCTCCTAACAAGGAAAAAAAAATGCATTGACACCGGGACCTACACAAAATACAGTCCCCACAGTTTGCATCCCAAACCAATATGTTCTATTTTTCCTTATCTGTTTCCTGCTTTCCATATTGAGAGGCTGATAACAGTAGTAAAGATGGTACACTCAAACATTATCACAAAGCTGCATCTTACATGAAAGTAACTTTGTTATAACTGAAAATTCGTTATAAAAGTATATTCATACACAACAGTGGAACGCCGATTATACAACTTTCAGGGGACCACGCAAAACCATCGTATAATACGGGTGCCGTATAATCGAAAAACTAAGAATATAGCAATGACACTCAGCATTGCCCCAACAAATGGGTATAGACTGCCTGAATAAGCCCACGGCACGACCTTGTGTCTCTGCTAGAAAAGTAGATTAAATAATTCTTGACAGCGACAGCTAATGGCAGCGTAACTTAGTTGAAAGAGGTGCGAGTGAACCTCTATTCTCAAGTTTTAAGAGAATCGAATCCTACGCGCATTTTTCTACGGATAAATAGAGACCGAAAATTGCCTGCGCGTGAAAATGAAACCGAAACAGTATTGCCAATAGCCTCCCGTCAGAAGAATCAGACACAGTGTCATCACTATCACATAATAACGACCGACCACGAGTGTGCATAGAATGCCTTCGTGTGCGACTGAGCAGCTATGCACGCTGCAATTTGTGGCCTTGTGAAGTGCAACTAGTGACGTCTCCCGCTGTTAGTATGAATGTCGACGTCAAGTGAAAGTAATCTCTCGCAGTGAAAACAGGTGCGTCGCACCCTTATGCGTACGCAAGCCTGTGACTGCGAGTGCGACAAAGGCAGAAGACCAGCTGTATGTCAACCAGAAAATGTTCCCATGGACCGAAAACGTGAAAATATCAGCTTTTTGGCCGGCTGGAGCTACTTTGTGTGGATAGAGCTTGTCGAGGTAACGACCCCAGATACGTGCACACGCGATTGCGGCGTGTGTAGAAGCACATGAACTTGCGGGAGAGTCAATTTTCCATTCTAAGAAGACATCTGTCTCGCTCTCTACTTTTCTAATCGTCAACGTAGGGGAACGCACGTTTTTATTTAGCACTAGTGAATATTTGGTCCACGCTTGATTCTAGTAAAGGCATTTTTTTTTTTCTTTTAGACAAAATCTGAGTGCCGTCGTAAGATGTGGGGTCAGCGTAAAACTGCGCCGTATAACCAAGGTTTTTAATACATTATTCCTATGGGGATTTTGCGGGGACCTAACCGATTCGTCGTAAAATGCGGGTCGTCACGAAACCGGGGGACGTGTAATCGAAGTTCCACTGTATATAAATTGCACGACTATTTTTCATTTACTTCGTTATAACCATGTTTTCTTATATGCAGGTTCGTTACATCGAGGCTTGAGTGTACGACATAGTCCTAGACAATGACACACTATGGCAAATAATGAAAAGCAGCCCAGGCCATCAGACAGTGCAGCCCCAAAATACCAATGCCACTCAAGTGGAATTAGTATTTAGTATAGGAAAGAAGGAAGCACTTATGCTACATTTGTCTATTTCTTTGCTTTACAGCAAGAAATGCCCGATGCAGAAATGGAGTCTGACAGAGTTGAGTTGGCCGGCTGCCGGTGTTATGGTACACAGCTTCTAGCATGGCTGTTTCTTACTATTGTGTATCATAAACAATAGTCTTACAAGAAAATTATGATGCCATTTATAAAAATTTACTCCATGATACATGCTGAACTATTACTATAATAGTCCATTTCCTAGAAAGACTGTGCTCTGTGTATTATTAAATGTTAGCACATTATGCGATTCAGGCAAAAGACAGGCATTGTTCACAGGATGTTCCTTTGTAGCTTATTTCCCGACTACTTATGCAAAACTATTTTTTTCTTGCAGCATAAACGGCTTCTAACATCAATTTTAACATTTATAGACAAATTAATCAATGCTTAAATCCTGCGATATATAATCAGCTGACCAAGGGGAACTGATCGAGAACAGTATTGTTTTATGCTTCGAAATACCAGGTTTACACTATTGAAGGTCATAAGTCATCTTCCACGTACTAGTATCAAGTTGACTGATGTTAAAAAGAAAAAGAAAAGCCCCAAGTGAAAGTGCTTGCAAAAGCTCCGCTACCTTAGAGAAGTTTTTTGTCTCAGAAGCAGGCACCAGAAGATGATAGTGAGCAAGAAAAATATAGATGCTGAAATTTCCGGCTCTGGTGTCAGAATAAAAAGTATAATGAGCATTCCTTTAGATTGTGGAGGCTATGATAAGTTTTAACATATATACGGTGCAACTACTTGACCTTAAAAAACAGTCCCCGCAGATAAAAAAGGCACCCAATTACGAAAACGTTCGACAAATGTATTTGTTGCTGAAATCTTACAGCTGGCTGTGGGCATCATTTGGTTCGTGAAGTGATGCACAGGCGCAACAATTGGTTTCTGAATGTTTGGCGTGGTTATACGAGGCATGCTGTACTGGTGAACTTTGGATCAATTTCTCGCACCTCTGTTCTAGATTGTACAAATAGATCTAAATATACATGGGTGTTTCACCCATGTATATTTAGATCTCGGCTCAAGGTCATTTCCAGCTAGCAATAATACCGTCACTTCTTTAATTCCTGGTTTCAAAAGCTGCTACTTCTGCCAATTTTTTGTGACACAACTTTCATGCAATTAAAAGATAAAATTTTGCACAGGAGCCATTCTATATTAACACGATCTGAAAAAGAACTTTTTAGGAGATCAGAAGTAAGCGTTTTGGTTAGCCACTGGAAATAATGGACAGAAATGGATGCAGTACTACATCCATTTGTGTCATGAAACCATTTAAGTCTTCGAAGTACCAATGCACCGAACGTATCTATTCGTGTTATCATTGCGCGACGCGGGCTAAATGGCCCAGAAGTATGTTCTTCTTGATTTACAAACCTACCTGAATACAGTGGGACAGTTGATACAGTTCCTGAGTTGTGATTGAGGTACCCGCTCCAGCAGGAATAAGTGTTGTAGAAGGGCTGGCAATGAAAGAAAAGTTTTGGAGTATATGACGATTGTAGTCTCTCGGACATGCAGCTTGAAACACACAAACAGATGGAGCAAACATTAAAACAAGGAGATATGAAAGGCTGTGAAAGCAGAATGGAGAAATGCAATATTCTGTCAAAACATCGCTGTCAAGCACGACAGTGAAAACTAATGCCAACAAACACACTGCACATTACAGTAGACAGATATCTTCATGAGACACCTTATTAAAGAGACAGACTGGTTGGCCCTAATTGCATTATGTTAGCCAGGTACTCTGCAAAGGCGGACCAGAAAGAAGGAATAAGAAGGATGCCTGAACAGATAACGTGGATGTTCACTCTTTAATAGAGCAGCCCACGAAGATAACTTGTCAAGTCCGCTTAGAAATTCAGGTTAAAAGGTTTCTCTCTAAAATGCATCTTTCAAATTATTTTTGGCAATTAATGCAAGTTACAAGTCTCTGAGTATGCCAAGAAAAAAAGGGCCAGTACAAAAAAATATTGCGCATGTAAACAATGTGCCTATACCTGGCTTTGGCTTCTTTCCCGTCGGGCAGGAAGAGCCGCAGTGTTGCCACGATGCACCCATGGGTCACTGTAAAACCAGAATATTTATTCAAAACAACCCACACAAACACGTGACAGCAATGTGGACACACCAAACGTAGGTATAGGGAGTACAAATCCATACGTACACACAGAAGCAATTTTTCACCACCTTGAGCACAAATATTACCTAGAAGGGCGGCTACTCACAAATGTAACAAATGTACCAAGCTTTTAGTCAAAATCCAACAAAATCCACGGAACGGCGCCCACTAACAATCATTGTGTCAGCTTGGCTCACCGCCTTATGCAGATTTCCATCAACAGATGCCAGATAGGGATACATATAGAATGCTAAATATGCTCATTAGAATGGGTGTCACAACATCAACCTAAATGCAGTTTCGCTGATTCTCTTCAATGGACACACACATAAGATGCTTGAGACTGTCTGTGCAAAAGGCATGGATCACAATGTAACGTCTGTTGCCAACGTAAGTGGGACTGACGGAAAGTCTTATGCCATGCATGAAAATATTTTTGAATCACAAAAACAAACTTGAAAGGCCCCACAAATTTAACACAACATCGTAATTGTTGGTGTTTCATGTCCCAAAACCTTGATGTCATAATGAGAGATGCTTAGTGGAGGGCTCCGGAAATTTCAGCCACCTGGTGTTTTTTCACACCAATCTCTTACACCAATGGTTAGATTGACGCTTTACATCAATCTGACCATCTAAATGTGGCCACTGCCTCTGGCATTCGATCCTGCAACTTCTGGGTCAGCCCTCGAGCCCCACAACCACAACACAATTGCAGTTGGTAATCTCACACTATGTGCAATCCTACTATCATTAATATGTGCAAGGTCTCGTTTCAAGTATTAAAATATTGATTGATATGTGCGGTTTAAGGCCCCAAAACCACCATGTGATAATGAGAGACGCCGTAGAGGAGGGCTCCGGAAATTTCAACCCCCTGGGGTTCTTCAACGTGCACCCAAATATGAGCACACGGACACTTCCTCCTCCATCGAAAATGCAGCAGAGTACCTTAGCCACCAGACTACCGTGGTGAGGCCAGTATTAAAATATTGAAAACTTTTCTTTTTGAGGAACTCATTTCAAAAAAGAAAATTCACCTTTCCGGGAGTTCTCCACCACATCTACACCGAACTGTACAATGTCACCAGAGCAAACTTCCTGGGCTGGCGACTCCTCAGAGCCTTTGCTTAGACGCTGGTTGTTGACAAACGTGCCATTGCTACTCTTGGTGTCTTGCAGATAAAACTGAAATCACCAAAAAGAAAAATGCAGTGCTTTAATCTGGTGAGACAAAGATCGGCAACTGCAACAATGGCTTTTCATCATCGGGTAGTCCACAGCACGATGAAGGCATCTACCAATTATCTCTAACCCACCCTATTGTGCTTGAGCAGATTCAACCTTATTCCTAGAATTTTTTTATTTTGTCGCTCAACTCGACATTTTGCCATTGTAGGCCACACTTCTTATTTCTTCATGTCCACTCATACATTCTAACTCACCATCGGTAATCTGCACTTATCGTGATAAGACCTGCCAAGGTCCATTTCTTCCTCTCAACAGCTGCTAGGATATCAAGCAAGTCCTCTAACTTATCCCGTTGTCTTTCGGCCTCTCATAGCTAAACCTACATCATTTTCTGTTTTACTGCGAGCCGAGTGGTGCTTAGCTATTCAAGTTTCTTCGTGATATGCCAGGTTGTTGCCCTGTATGTTACATACGGTCGATCGAATACGACGGCGGCACACTTTCCGATTTGGTGACAGTAGTGTGTTACCGGTCACAAGTTGAGAAGCGTAAATATGCCCAACAAATTTTCCTTTTCTATAGATACATATAAGTAGGCTCATTTGTTAGTATTTGGCCTAGACGTACAAGCCCTTTCAGTAATTCGAAAATACGGGTTTCCATCAAAAACTCTTACTCTGTCGCTGGATAACCTAACGTCTTTGCTTTCAACAATAACTTACTTCAGTGGCATGCCTCTTCGTTTCTCTATCGTTTGCCACCCAGTAACACTAGCAGTGTGGTGGCCACAAAACTGCATCATTTTAAAACTTGTTGCCAGTCCAATTGGTAAATGCTCCTTTACGTGAACAAGACTCGCAGCGACAGACGAAAAAGCATGCAGAAGGACCAGATGCCATATAGTTGTGCTGCTTTTTGCTTTGAATTTCTGTCTTACTTACCCAGAGAAATATGCATCGGTAGCTCCTACGCAGATAACTCGGGCATAGAAGAGTTGCGTGAGAAAGTACGCATCTTTAAGTCACTGCTGTGCTTGGCCAGTGCATGCATTTTATGATGCTTCAAATTATCTTAAGAGTTACAGTTTAAAAAAAGCGGGCAAGCAGTGATACAGACAGCAGATTCCCGCCAGTATAGCGGGGTACTGCACAAGTGAAGTCCCATGCAGGCCACCTATACCTTATTTACTCGCATAATCCTCGCACTTTTTTTGCCGGAAAAGCGATGAAAAGTTGGGGGGTGCGAGAATTACGCGGAGAAAACTTTCTACGAAAACGTACAGAGCGAAAAAGAAAACGAAGTGGCCACAAATCGGGATTCTCATACCAGCAACTAACAGCAAGCTTAAGAAATACTAATTAAAACTTACCTCAACAATAAAAGCAGAGGTTCAACACAAGACAAGATTTAATTGAGATACAAAAAGTGGAAGTAAATAGTCGAGAATTAGAATACCATACGGAAAGCTTGCGGACGTTGCGGGCGTAGCGGTAGCGTTCGTCGCTCAACAGGAGCTCTCAAAAGGTAAGCGCGAGACGTCAGTATTGGGCTGATGGCTATTTAACAGAATTGTCCTCAGTTTCCTTCTTAAGAAATTAAGTTTACCATCAATCCCAGTTTTAGGCACACGGCAGGCCTAACACGTCTTGGTGGCTTTCAGCAGCCATCACCAGTAGCGAACACAAAACTCGTAGACTCCGAAGGGCCTACCGGCGGCCCTGTTGCCGTTCTTTAGTGCATTATCTATCACTTGCAACTTGAAAGCAGCAGCCATACAGCTTCAGTATCGCCTCATAACTTGAGAAGGTTACCGACGCAACATACAAAACACGCCGTAACGCGCACTGGCCACTTCGGCTTGGCAATGGTATGCTTGATGCTTAAGAGATGGCACCAGATGACGTGCGCTATCATCATAAGTGGCCGGAAAGAGCAGACGACATTATTGCAGCAGTTTTCGGGGGTGCGATAATTACTCGATGAAAAAAAATCGTATTTTTGTTGGGCGATGTGGGGGGTGCGAGAATTGTGCGGGTGCGAGGATTATGCGAGTAAATACGGTACATCCCATTCCGCATCGGTGGCTGTGTTTGTGTACACTACTTATGCAAGTTGTGTCGACCAGCGGCCAGAAGAGAGCAAGATCAATACGCAGGTCAATGCAATTTTTGGACTTTCCACGTAGTCTTCATGTCTTGACCTAACCTCAATGTGCCACATATGACTTGCCAATCTCTTTGACGCAGGCACTACCATGCTCGGTGGGTTGTTCAACGTGCCATGTTTTCGGACCAATGTCAAAAGCATTATTTGTTTCTTAAAACTAATGTAATTAAAGACTAATTGCACACATGTTTTATGCCTACAATTTCATTCTTATGTAAAAAATTAAGTTACTGCAGCAGAATTAAATATTCTATTACATGCCAATCAAAATTAATTAACTCCTGCAACAACACATTGCTTCATTTTTTAAATATAATATTTAATGGATTAGAATTATGTTATGCATTTGACCCATCTGCAAACAGAACGTGTTTCGCACCCGAAGTGGATATACACAGCCTGATAAAGCAGTAAAAGGCTGGGAAGCTTTGGCACTCACTTTTCCATTTTCATACCAGAGCAGAGCATGGTTTCGCGAGAGAACCTTGCAGTCAAAGATGGCGTTGTTCGGTGCCTGTCGGCATCGGGCCACCGACCGGCCGACCTTGGCAGGCTGGTCGAGGGCGAGCACTCGTTCGGGAAATGGGTGCGAGTTGGGCCGGCAAGTGAGGACGGCTCGAGGTACCCCGGGCTTGGGTGGTGGCACATCAGCCGGCGAAAACACTGGAGCCTGCTGCAGGGGTGCCCCGTTCCCCACTGCTGCGGGAGGAGTCACGTCCCCGGGCAGGAAACCAGCCTTCATGGTATCGGCCTCATCCGGCGCCGACCCGTTTTCAGCCGGGGTAGCCGTGGCGGCTGCTATCTGGGTATCCACCTGTGCAAGTCAGTGAGCACATTACTCCACTGATGGTATGAACAATACCATAATTTCAGATGCCCAGATGCATGTACAGTTGATCCTTAATAAAACAAACATGTATTTTAAACATCTATTGCCACTCGCAGCACACGACTAACATCATCATTACAAATTAATAAAGCAAGGGTATTCAGTGACTCATATTACTTATCTCATTATAGCAACTTTTGACAGTATCAACAATATGTGTTTGTTGAGAAGGTTAGCTACAAGTTTCGTAAATTCAAAAAGTGCACATAAATTGGAAGTAGTGAGATAAACACACAAAAAAGAGAATACAACAGAAAACGCTGGTACTTGCATTGTTCTCTATCTCAGTACTCTCATCTTTTTCTAGCCCTTTTCATTTTGTATAAGTGTGCATGCATGTTTTATTACAGCCAAAGGACAGTGTTTCTAACATTTATGTAAAGTTAGCTTCTCAGTTGCATAACCTTCAGATCTCTAAGTATCTTAAATGCACCGATTTGCTATATAACCACACCAAAGTTTTGAATGAGGGGGGGGGGGGGGGGGGGTGCCAGAGACTATCAAATGCCCTCTATCGAATGCCCAATGTTCGCACTATCTGTTCATTGATAGGGAAATCAATGTTCAATAAATTAATCTATTTAAAAAGAAGAAAAGGAAAGAAACAAACAAAAGCAAGGATATCACCAAAAACCTAGCTTTGCTAGAAAATTCTTAACACAAGCCTTTTAGGCTATTAAAAGCATTTAGTTGCCTAAACTTTGCTAAAGAGAATCTGTCCCTGCAATCATTCAACCTCTGTGGGAATGATGGGTAGTACACAAAGTTACCTAGTCTTCATGCTTGCAGGCTTCGAACGCACTCGAGGCTTCGTTTATTGCAGCGCTTTGGTTTTCTTTAATGTAAAAGAACAGACCATTGTGAACTTCGGTGACCCTACTTGAATATGTGAGCCTAAAATGTTAACGTGGTGAAGTGGAAATGCCGCACATTTCCTGGTTGTCATTTCATAATAAAGCGGCTCCAAGCCACGTAAAGTCAAACGAAGCCGAAAGAACAAAGATTAGACAAATTTGTGTACTACCCCATGCTGGCTGAAGCGTCGTGCGTTGCAGCTCTCCCAGACACTAGCACCAGAGAGTTTCCTCTAGTGTATTTATGGGAAACTGTATGATGAAAAGGAAGGAAAAGGCTTCTGGCCTTTTCTACAGAACCTAAGCTAGTAGTTCTAAAGCTGATGTTCATAAGCTTTTACATATGCAGGTTAGCCTCTCTTTCACCATCACTTATTGTTTTTAAGGTAGAGTCATGCTGCCAGAATAACGCTGTGCTACAGTTAAAGGAGTTGAAATATTCCTTATCATCAACAACTTCCAAATGAGGAGAAATGGCCTGCCACACCACGGAGTAGATCGATGCCTAGGTTCCTTCGCATCATTGTCTGTTAGTTCTCATCAATATTGCATTTAACAAGGAAAGTTTACACTTCTTTCCTTGAGAGTCTTTTATGGTTATCTTATCCAGTATAGTTGCAAGGCTAGGTTACAAGCCATGCATTGATACAGGAGCCAAGCGGAAGCCTGCAATGTAGGTATAGTTTACTCGTTGCTCCTCGAGGCAAGCATTCAATAAGAAGTGGTTTGTTGGTTGGTTTGTGGAGTTCAACGTCCCAAAGTGACTCAGGCTCTGAGAAACACCCCAGTGCAGGGCTTCGGATAATTTTAACCACCCGAGGTTCTTAAATGTGCCCTGAAGAGCAGTGTACATGGGCTGGTCACATTTTGACTCCATCGAAATGAGACTTCCACAGCCAAAATTCAAACCGCGTTGAATTGGTCAGCAGCCGAGCATCGTAACCACAATGCCACTAAGAAGGGTCATTCAAATCATCAGAAGCCACCTCACCAGCCTCTTACAGACAGAAACCTTCAACTGCAAGAATAATGCAGCAACCAGTGCCAATACAGGATTGGAGCGAAAATGTAGTCAATCACAAAAGTTTAATGACAAGGCAAACACGCCAAGAGCCTCCTTACAACATTATCACTACACAAGAGGCAATCGACAGCAGCCCCATGCCCAGAACACATCCCTCCCTCATTTGATGGCCTGCCTATTTTGCTACTGGGCACGAATACTTTTAAGTTTATCACTTTCTGGCACGACAAGCTCTTCGGCAGCCGCGGCTCCATGTTTCTGTCAGTAGGGCAGTCTATATGCAGAACTGCTGTCAGTTGTAAACTTTCTCACAAAGCGATACCTATGTAATGACCACCGCTGGAAGCACAGCATGGTAGCTTTGATTCTGCTATCAAAGTAGTTGTGGGACACCCATATCACAGATAAGTGCGCTGTGTGGAAACAACAAACTTAACAGTGTTCTGCGCGATATGAGAAAACCGATATACTAGTGAATATCACGGAGACCAGTTTCTGGGCTATCGCGAAGTTTGACGGTAGATGACACATCAATGGGTGGTGAATACAGGCAGTTTAGCTTGCGGCGGTCCGTAAACTTTTGGCGTTGACAGTAGATGTGTAGCAACGTTCTGTAACCCTAGACTTGTGTTTCAACAATTTCTTGTATTATGCGAACAAGCCCAGTTGACAACCAGTACTGCAGCACTTTCCACTTACATGGGCAAAATAAACGTGAATATTCAGATAGTGTAAAGCGTCCATCAGCCGCACTTGCGCATACAGAGTTTATTTTAGTACGGATGTGCACAGTTTCATCGCTGTACACTGCACTGCATCTTGACATCGAATATAAAGGCGCGGTGAAATGGAGACAATAAAGCAGTGTCCCACACTACACACAGAAAATTACATTCCAGCAAGAAGCCGTGCGTTTACGGCAGAACGAGTTTTGAAAATGCTCTGGACAGAAGAGCATTTACACACCTGAGCAATTTAAATCTCTTTAATGCATCAAAAGAATGTACAGTACCTGCGGATTGAAACGCAACATCAAAACTGTTGACATGACAACAGGTATGCACAACTTTTCTAAAAAGCCACACCCTGCAGCTACAAATCCAATTTTAAAATTGTGGCATTCTACATTCCTGAATCGCAATATGATTATGAGGAATGGTCTAGCGGAAGGCTCCAGAAACTTATACCATCTGCGGTTCTTTAACATGCTGTTCTTTAGTACACCTATCTCTAGGATGCCATTTCCTTCGAAATGCGGTGACCACAGCGAGGATTTGATCCCATCATTACTGAGCCAGCAGCTGAGCATTATAACCACTTGACAACCACAGCAGGCTGTAGCTACGAATCTGGCTACTAACATTAGTACTGACCCCAATGCACCTGTTGACAAAACTGAAGATGGTTGAAATGAAAGCAATGCTGATATCTGAGCTATGCTAATGAGGCACAGCGTAGTGGAGGGCTGTGGGAATTTTTGACCATCTAGTGTTTTTTAATGTGCACTGCCATTGCACAAAACATGGGCTTTAGCATTTCACCTAAATTGAAATGGGACCGCTGCGGCTGCAACCGCACCTGCGACCTTCGGGTCAGCAGCCGAACACCCTAACTGCAACACTATGGTGACAAACTGAAATAAAAGTATGTGCATTACTTAGCACTAAGGTGTCCCTTTTCAATCCATGAGCATGTCACATGCATGCTACAGTTATTTCATGCAGTTCAGTTTCAGTGAAAAAGCATTGTTTACCCAAATATGATTGGATAAACATGACCTACTTATGAGAAAGAAGCAGTTAAGCATTATCTATAGTATTTAATTTTAGTACAAAAAAAACAAAAAGGAATTAGCCATAGGAGCACGACTTCAATAAAGCATTGCATGATCACCTTGTGCGTTTGTCTTGCCCTTCTATGTGCACGTTAATATAAGGTCTGATTCGGCTGCACTTTCTGCGCTAGTTCAAGAGTGCATCACTTTAGTCCTCAATTTTGCGAGCGCAGCTCGCACCACTTGCCCTTCTGCAGTCAATCCGACGTCCTGGCCCACGAGTTCATCGGCACTAGCTTCCCTGCGAGTTCTAGTCTCTCGCAAGTAGCGCAAGGTATCAGTGTTGCAGCACTTTCACCCTCGATTTGACCACTGAACCGAAACCGCTAGTGTCATGCTACACCAACACTAGAAGAACTGGTGCAGCACTGGCATGCACTTTCGTGAACTACGTCCAAAAAGTGCAGCCAAATCGAGGATACCTATACAGACAAAAAAGTTTAGGGAAAAAGGCAGGCTTGAAGCAATGAGATATTGTTGAACAGAGAATGCTGTAGCTGGAATTGACATTTCGACAAGTTCACTTATCAAAACAGGGGCTACAACAATATTGGTAGTATAACTACATGCTCATACTGTTGCAGTGAGCACAATGCCTGCACTTATTTAGCACAATTAAAATAGAAATGCCTATTATAGGTGTCAGATATTATGCTTTATGTTTATTCTTTTCTATATTCCTTTTTCTTCAGAGTACTAAAATGCAAAGAAAGCTTTCTGAACCAATTATTTTATCTTGGAGCCTTGTGTTTATGAGGTTACAAGGAGGAATGCTTATTATGATAGAAAGCAAGCAAAGCAAGGGAATATTGCTGTCAGTTGCTGCTTTCAGGAAAATCAAGCCACCACAAGTTGCACCTCACTTTCTCCTATGACCTGCTTTCACAAGCCATTAGAAGAGAACATCCCAAGTACAGGTAACTAATGCAGCCGATGTGTATATAATGGTGCCCCTTAGGATTGAGACCGGGAAAAAGAATCCACCTTCCCACTTCCTTCATATCGTTGTGGCTTTCAGAAAGTCGCAACGATTCTACCATAATGCCCCATGTTGTCCGTCACAAATTAAGGCAGGGCCTCAGGAATACACAGGGACTAATGATAAAACATGCAAATGGTAGTGTGCGTGATGTCATACTGCTTACGGTGAAGTTGGTGCAAAGGCCCGAAACAAAATGTGCACAAGTTTCGACAACGTGTCGGCAACTAAAGTCACCAAGCGGTGAAGTTGAATCACTCAGGCCAATGGTTCAGGCCAAAATATAAAGCTAGCGAGATACGGGCCGGAAAAACACCGATGTGCACGCACTCCAGTATCACCTCGTTGCGCATGATACGCCCTGCGTCGAAGCATTCAATAATGACGGTGCTTCAAGTATACACTGACTCCGGAAAGGCTACATGACAGCGGCACTACATATAAAGCAAGCAGCGTAGCCGGGCAACTGGTGCGGAGCCGGCTGTCAAGAATGCCGCATCCGTATTATGGTCTCCAAGCAGAAACATTTGTGGTTGGGCGGATACGCGCGTCACAGCCAGTCCCAACACAAGTAGCGAGCCGAACGGAGTCAAACGCACGTCAAGGCTGCATGCAACATACCACACGCCCTTGAAGTAAATGACGCTTCGCGACCGCACAGCACCAGGCATCGGTCCCAATTCGCAATTATGCAAGCTCATCGAGTCCGCTAAAACGCATCGCCTGCCGAGATGGAAGAAAAGTTTACGAAACCGCGCCGAGCTACGCACCCGATGGCCGCAGGGAGTGCCAAGCCTTCCGCAAGCCACGGTTCATTGCCCGGTTCGGCTCTATTTGCACATCGACGCTCGACAGCGCTCCGCCCATGCAAACAGAATCAGCTCTGCACCGGTATAAACGACAGGAACTTCGAGGTTGAAAAATAGAGAAAAGTTTCACACGATTGGGCTATCTATCGAAACGAATTCGTGTTGCCGACGGTCAAGACGGGCCTATCTCGAAGCGAGATCTCTACAAATTCTCCCAAACCGCATTCGGTCGCTGCACTCGAGATGCCATTTAATCTGCTTACCTTGGCGGAATCCTTTCGGTAGACAACCATTAACACTGCGACACACGCAAAGTCATTTGGAGACCGCACAACAGCGAGCAAATGGGCAAACACACGGCAAAGCCATGGTCACGGCACGAACGAAAGACATCTCGCAAGCCGCCAAAGCTGCAGCCACAGCGAAGGTGTAGTTGTACTGTAGTTTCAAGCGAGGCACACAAACAGCGCCGTCCGGCTCGTTTCCATTGCGACGAGCCAGCAGAATTTTCTTCGGGGCCCTGGCTGCCGATGTGAGAGGTGCTCTCCTTTCGCTAGCTGGACGATTGTTTCGGAGGGCAAACGTCGGGGTCGGCCGCTCACGACGGTCTCGTAGTGGACGAGGCCGGGTGCGTAACGTTTCACACACAGTCAGCACATGAGAGTCGGCGAGGCAGGCCTACCTCGTTCGTGTAGGACCCAGCACTTTCTATAAAAAGCAGTCATATGGGAGAATCGGACGGTAGCGCCCAGCGTAAAACGTCATTTGCCCGGTTCGAGAATAGGCAGCCGCAGCAACAGCAGAAAAAGAAACAGGTAGAAAACCACGGACGGCGGCGGGACGGGCGGCCAGCGAACCGCACGAACACACACGCGCGCACAGGTTTCTCTGGGATCCGATAATCGGGGCTAAAAAGGCGGAGAAGGAAGGAGTAAATGAAGACAAAAAGTCGAAAAACCTCTGCGGAAACCCGATGAGAGTACTTGCCAAAGGTGCTCGTTCAAGTACTCTCGCCCGCCGGGCGCGAAACGGGAAGCAGCGCTAGCGACGAGAGCGTCACCTGCTGAAAGCCTCGAAAGCGCGCGGAATCCGAGAGAGGCACTCAATATTTTAAATATTAAAGGCAACTGAGCGACCGTAAACCTCCTTTGGTGCATTGGTTGAAAATCGGACAATAGTTCGTCAATTTAGTTAGCGAAGAATCAAAAGCGCTTATCACTTTGTCTTGAATATTACAAGGCACATGTACGAGCCCGCTGATAAGGTTCATAACTTATTTGTTCTTTATCTTTTCTGCTTCAGCACGCAGTGAAAGGTTCAAGGCTTTGTGTGCGACGTTGCACTGAAGCACCTAGTTTCTGACGGCCAATACGCACGCCGCTAGAGGCCAATATGGGAATTTTACTTTCCTTCTTACTACCTCGCTCCTCACTTTTCACTGAACGATATTTCTTAGCACGTGTTCTTAAAACTTTTTGCAAGGCCGAGTGGCAAATTGTCGCGAAAACTGTCATGGCTTTGGACACCGCGTAGCGAAATATTAGTTATGGGTGATCACGATACGATATTACAAGTAATACGCTGTCCTATACTTCGCAGCGTAAGCAGACAACCACCACTACGATTCAGTGCGGAGTTGGCTGTCAAGAATTTCCACTGAGGAAGCCCTGAATGTATACTGAACCTGCGTGGCTTAGGTCCCTGAATGAACGAACTAATGTGTTTTTTTAAAGGTTTGTTTATGGAATTCTGACATTGTTCACTTGTCATCAATCACTGCGATACACCGAAAGGACGTCATTGAAATTGCACAACTCAAAGAACGGCTCGCGACTGCGCGTATTAGAAAACGTACAGTACAAACTGCGTTGTAGCACATGCTACTGCTACAGGAAAATCGGTAACATTATATGCACTCAAGTAATTTGGACTGCGTCTTCTTCATACACTTATATGAAATTGCGCATGAGCACCGACTCCTAAAGTTCATCGTGAAGCTCAACGCCGTTTTACCCAGCTATCTTACAATATATTAGCGATTCCCAATATGTCATAAGTGTGATAACGTCTGCGCGGAATTCGAATAACAGCCAACATGCCGCTAAAGATAAATAAAATATGAGCAAAAAGGAGGGGGGGGGGGGGGGTTATGGTGGAGCTTGTCAGTCACATATGTTACTCAACAGCGGCCGTAGGCAGCAAAGTATCAAAACATAAATACCAAAGTGATAGATCAGAATATAGAGGTATGTTTGACTCAGCCTAACGATATAGGAAACCGCTTGGCAAACAGACTGCACACGTGTTCGTTACGAGAGCTAGGTTGAATGCCATGACAAAAGTGATGCATCATTGCTCTCGCGAAACGACGTACGCCTGACAGATCTCGCCAGTATAAAAATAAAAAAAGGTTTTAATTGAAAAGCACGTTCTCAGTTAGAAAGCATAAAAAAAGAATGACGTGTGAATTCTTCGCTGGTGACTGTATGCGCTCACGCGTTCCAAGCAGTGGTATACGTACATTGTGGCGTACAAAACGCAGCGCCGTACAAATGCGTAAACCTGTGGTGATCTTGGCTGCAGCATAAAATCCCCCCCCCCCCCTCTCCTCCGCACACGCACACACCGGCCTCTTGTAACACACAAAACGCAGCAACACTGCACTAAAAACACGCCTTGCCGTATAGCCATACAATACCCAATAAGGTAAATCCATATAGTTTGGATTAATCAACTGTGGATAGGACAACTTGCACTAATCAAATCGATGTTTAGAAGTCTAGAAAAAGAAATGTCTCGGAAAAGACGCGTAGTGTCACGGCGATAAGTTTCAGTGGTCTTCTGACTATATAGCGATTAAGAATTGAATATGCCTCCCGGTTGAGTTATAACAGTCTTATTTTCTGTTCCTCCAGCGGTGATGCACACTTGTCTTGTTTATTTGGCACTTACATATTCGAAAGAGCAATTCCATAGCATCTCAATCGGACGAATTCCCACGAATCAATTCGTGGGCGTATACGCTCTGCAATTCATCGGTCGAGTGAATATTGTCATCTAATCCTGCAGATAATGTGGCGTGTATATCAGCTAAGATACCTAAATGGAAACATTCATTCCTCTTTGTTTTATCTTTATCATCGTCGCTGTGGTGGACGCCAAGCGCGTGCCATGTCCTGGCGCCGTTGTCGGCAGTGACTCCTTATACGACAGGTGAACGCGGATTTCAGCTATAGCTTAGTGATAAAACGTCGATGATTTACGTCTATAGTAACCACGATATGACTACGAGGGACGTCGTAATGTAATTAAGACTCCGGAAATTCGACCACTTGGGGCTCTAGCATATCGCCTTCAACGAAACGCGGCCTCCGATGTATATAGGGAGTAGATTCGCTAGCTACCTTCGGATTGAGCTAGCTTGGGAACATGGGTGTAGGCATGGCTTTGTCATTGACGGATAAGTGCAAACCCGCGTTGCATCGTGGTGGGCAGAGCCATAGGCAGACATTTCTTTTCTGGAGGGGGGTGGGGGGGCAGCCCTTTAGTCTGAAGTGGGGACCAGGAAGGCAAATGGCCATTTCGCTCTATGTATACCGTGCATAACAAAAAAAAAAATTGTTAGTGTCTATGTCGCCGGTAGTCGGTAGAGTATATCGACCGACCGCGGGTGCCGGCAGTTCTTTCCTACAAGAGGGTTTCAAGGAACGTTCTTAAAGGAGTGTGCCGAGGCTGGTCTGGTGCTGCCGAACGGCGAGGGGCTGCCCAGGCTAGAGGAATAGCGTGACGTAGGCGCAATATTGTCCACGGCATGAAGCACATCTGAAACAAACGGCCCTGCGAGCTAGCCGCATACTGCCTGGAAAATGCCTGTGGGGCGCGTTAGGTTAGGTTAGGCTACGTTATGTTAGGTTAAGTTAGGGATGCTCAAGTCCTTGACTATCCTTGACAATAGCGATCAGTGTTGCGAAATGTCCGGAGAGCAAAAATAGCTAAATGATGTCTTAAAGCTAAAGATACAGCAAGCCGGCAAGACAGGCTCACCAGAAATGTGTCGGAAGATAAGTCACATGGTCATGGGCAGTCAATAAGGAAAAACTACCGGCAACTTGTTTTCCCGAGATATATTAATATGCCGGTTGCCGGCACTAAAGGCGCGGGCAAAAGTATTTCGGAGGGGAAGGGGGGGGGGGCATGGGCCTGGTGTGCCACCCCCTGGCTACGCCACGGGCGGTGGGCAGGGCGGCATCTTCTTGCCGGTGACCATGCCTGGGAAAGGTGAAGCTGCCGCAGTTCGGAATTCAATTCGCAATCAATGTTACTAATGGGCTAGCGCAGCAGAAGAAGCAACCAAAAGAAAAAAAAAGAAAGGAGGGGGGTTCTTACGCGTGCTCGAAGCCTCGCTGGCATCACGGCTGGGGGATTCCTCGCGAGGTACCTAAGCCGTTTCTGCCAGCGAACGTAACTGTCGTACTTCCTGGCGAGGAGCTCTTGCATTCCCGGCGAGAAGGACTCCAGTGCGTTGGCAGTGATGAAAGGCACCGTGACGTCCACGTCGTCCATAGCCGGGCGCCAAAGTGTCCGCCCAGCAGCCAGTCACTCTCGCCGCATGACCTGCGCGATATGCCGTGAATAACGTCTCCGACAATCAGCGTGCGACTGGTGATTGTGTCAGCTGGTTACAACGTGGCTCAGACATGTATCCAACTGCGCAATCCTTTTGATCAGCGTAGCATGACCTGGTAAATCTGAATGGCCCGCGGCTGTTCGTTCATTTGCTGCGCGCGCTTGATCTTCATGTACGAACGTTTGCCCAACCTTACAAGTACAGCAAAAACAAATTGCATTAAGCTAATCAGTTGTATTCAGTTGTAAGGCTGAAAACTGCCGTAGTTTATTATGCCGTTAGAAATTTATCAATACTATAGCAAGATGAAGGTCAGTGTCTAAGTTTTAAATTTCGTGCCTTATTTCTCACTCATGAATGTAAGCATGACGTCACGAACGCCTGAGAGCTCGGCAACGAAGATGATGATAGATGAGGTGATCATCATGGTTCATGATGTATACAGATGAGAAAGATCGGTGTAACAAATGCCCACAACAGGGTTTGTTATACTGCACTTTTTTTTTGTAAAATCACGCTGACAGCCTTAGATGCCTCATGGAATGCGAAAATCGATCATTGTCGTCAGCGTCCAAAAGCGTTGGCGTCAATACGAGAGATGCAAAAGATTATAGTCACCTGATGACATCATATGCTGATGTCACATCATATGATCACTATATGACATCATATGTTTATGTCATCATATATCATAAACACCTGTTCAAAGCTCGGCCGATCGCGAAGGCAGTGGAAAATCAGGCAAGGTGCGTAAAGCTTGCCATGCCTGCAGTCTTGCCATGCCTCCACTCCCACGGGGGAGAAGAGAGGATTGCGGATCACGTGACGAAGGTCGTCGCGAATTAGGCGCTACCTCCCCGCGGATTCGCGGGAGATATGAGGATCTCCTGACTGACAGGACAAACTATCTCCCCATGGTCGGTGATACAGCGGAACTTTGAGAAGGTGCGTGGGCACAACGTTGCATTTGCTGCCGAAGGCCCCTGCCATAGCTGCTCTGTTTAAGACTGAAGATCTGAGAGCTACTTGGTATTGGTTCATGGCAAAAAAAAAAAAAAACAGCACATTTGTAATGAGGACGAACGCTTTCTTGCTCCGGCAAAGAGCGGCAGAGCAGGAGTGGTTTCGTCGCAGCAGCTAGTGAAACGGGAAGCACAAGCCGCCAGAGTCTGGTAACACTGGCTTCACCCTTCGTTCACTGGTTCGGGTGAGCGGGTCCAAATGACGGCCCCACCTTCATCGTCCGAGAATTTGTCCCACGTGTGAGTGCCCATTTAGGTTCAAAAATGTTTTCGGAAGGAGGTGGCCGGGAGAGGATCATTACATCTAGGGAGCAACATGACGGGCCGATTAGGGTCGACACATCTTAAAAAAAAAAAAGGCGCCTTCAAGAAACTGAGCCAAAGCCAGCGGG